CCAGTGACTCACTGCAGTGACACAAGTACAGATGTGTGGACTAAAGGGTGTACTGTGTAATTCACTGGGCTGCACTGAGATTTTGTGTTGTTTGTTTGTTTTAGTGGTTTTATTCTTAAATTTTGTTTTGCGGGGGGGGGGCAGCTTGCAAGGGCAGAGGGTGGAAGCAAGAGGACAGGGAGAGATGAGTGGTATCAGGATGCATGATGTGAAATCCACAAAGAATCAATAAAAAGTTAAAAAAACAAAAACAAACCCACTCTGGCCTGTGGGATGGTGCTGCCCACTTATCTCAGTTAACCTAGTCTGCAGACTCCCTCACAAATGTGCCCAGAGGTTTGCTTCTGTGGTAATCCCCTCCAGTTGACAGTGGATTGACCATCACAGCATCTTAGCATTGTATTACATAGTGACTCTTCCTTTGCTGAGTTGGAGACACCATACCAAAGAACCTTTCTGGTTGAACTCTTGCCATTTGTATTAAGTGATGCTTTCAACAGTGCATGGGCTCCTTTTCCGTGCCTAAATTGGCTGGTGTAGATAACTGAAGGGGGGAGCGATTTCTTTCGGCTCCCAGTGTTAGAGGGCACAGTCAGTACTCAATGTCCTTGCCTCAGAAGCCTGAGCAGGAACATCATGGTGGAAGAGAAATGTTCCGTCCATGGCAGACCAGGAGGAGGGGAATGCCAGTGCTCACTTGACTTTTCCTTTCCCTCCTTTAATTTCATCCAGGCCCCCAGGATGGCCTGGCACATCCCACATGTGTGTGGGTCTTCGAGGTATATATTTCCTTGTATGCTTCAAGAAGTTAGGTCTGGCAGGTGCACTCAGCCCTCAGAACATGCTTAGGTGTGGCCTGTCACCCTGAAGATGCTGCTTCCTGCTTTCTATATATAAAGCAAGAAGATGCCCAGGCAATGGGATGTAAACGTGGAAGTGAGGGAAGTGAAAGAGCAGCAATAAAATGATAGCTGGAGGTAGTGAGAGGCCTTAGAGACCCCAGCACCATGCAGTTCACATCCAGGGTTGAAGTTTGCAGCCAAGAGTATATGTGCTGTTTACATCTCTAGACAGACACACGCGTGCACAAAGACAGACAGATACACACACACTGATTTTCTACATTCCAAGAAGCTCACAGCTTGTGATGTGCACCTTACCTGCTGCCTGTAAAGCAGTACCACCTTTCAAGGAGAGTGTCAACATTTGCAATAATGCCTAGCATGCAGTGAAGATTTAAGGAGCGTCCAAGTGGAACTTGAGGCACCAGCCTTGATTCTCAGGCTGGAAGATGAGGAGGGCCTTACGCAGAACCCAGTCGAAGGGATTTTGCACCTCTCAGATGAAGGACTTGTTGTAGTTGACACTCAGGCAAATTGGATGTGGTCAGTAAACATTCCTTGAATGAATAGGTGGTTGGACTAGATTGGTGTTTCCCATGGGAATGATGTGAGGTGGTTATAGGTAGGACAAAGACATTTTACATCTTAGTAAGTAAGTGTTTATTACAGTGTGTGTTAGAAGAAAATACAAGCGAGCAGTTAACTGTGAAAAAGAAAAGCGAGTCATTTAAAGACCTACTGTGTTGAGCAGGCAGTGGATGAGTATTTGGAAGTTAAAGCAGGAGTGAATTAAATAAAGACTGGGCCACTGTTCAGTGTCTTTCCAAGTCGGAGAGCTCTGTCTCTTTGGATATAGGCATTGAAAAGAAAGTTGGGTCTACAGAGAAGTGTTCTAGGGTTTTTTCGGGGGGAGGGGAGCACAGTGGAACTGGCAAGTAGAGTTGGTTGTTAGCATCGTGGGCGGTGCAGATTAACTGCTGCTGATAGCGTTGCAAGCGTTCGCTATCTATGGGGCAGTCCTGGGTTCCTGGGTCAGTTAGTTCTTAACAAAATTGGGACATCTGCATGTGGAGTTTCCATAGCCAGTGTTCATGCGGAAAACTGTTCCCATTCTTGGTTATTTTCTGAGGATAAACCCTGAAGTGGGATCGTGGGCTCATCATGTGTGCGTGTATTCCATTGCACAGATCTTGTGGGCTCATCATGTGTGCGTGTATTCCGTGGCACAGACCTTGTGGGCTCATCATGTGTGCGTGTATTCTGTGGCACAGCACCTTGTGGGCTCATCATGTGTGCGTGTATTCTGTGGCACAGCACCTTGTGGGCTCATCATGTGTGCGTGTATTCCGTGGCACAGATCTTGTGGGTTCATCATGTGTGCGTGTATTCTGTGGCACAGCACCTTGTGGGCTCATCATGTGTGCGTGTATTCCGTGGCACAGCACCTTGTGGGCTCATCATGTGTGCGTGTATTCCATGGCACAGATCTTGTGGGCTCATCATGTGTGCGTGTATTCTGTGGCACAGACCTTGTGGCACAAGTGTGCCTGGTCACCACCTGGCAGCAGAGCTTGAGTGCCCTCTTCCTTCTCTAAACCCAAGGTCTACTCAGAAACAATTTTGATGCCAGTTTGAAAGAAGAAAGAGCACTCTTATTTGCGCTTTTATTTTCCCTTTAAAAAGTATTATTGAGACTAAGTTTTTTGTGTTTGTTAGTTAGTTGTATTTCTTTTGTGAATTGTCCCCAAATATGGCTTTTCATCCATTTTTGTTTCTTCTGGGAATTTGGGAGTGCTTCCTCCCTAATTTGTGAGAGTTCTTTATTTTGTGAGGATATAAGTGTTTTGTGGTGGGCTTCTGGTAGTTCTGGTTTAATCCTTGCCATTTAGGTTTATTGGCTAGTCAGGCTTAAGTGTCTCTCATGGGGAAGGCGGCTCTTTGATTCTATGGTGCGCAGGTCTTTGCACTTTACTCCTTTGGAGTGAGATCTCTTTATCCTGTGTGTGTCTCACGGTCTTTTGTCAGTAAGGGCTGCCGTCCCCTGTGCCGCCAGGTGCGGTAGGTATTTGCTGGCTTGGCTGCGTAGTTTCCACTATAGCCACAAGTGCTTTTCTCACTGTGGCGGTTAAAGACCATTGAACATAGACCTGAAACTATGTTTTGATGCCTTCTGATCCAAGTCAGATGAAAGGGCCAATATTCAAACTCACAGAGTGAGAGTCAGAACTTCAAAAAAAACCCTCAGACAATACAGTGACACTTTCTTTTAAAAAGCCCCCTGTAACTAACTCATGGATTCTGTGCCCTGGAGGCCAGTAAGCATTTCTTTGTGTGAATACGCCAGTTCATTTAGTTAATCTCACATTGGTGACCTGTAAATCCCAGAATCTGACGCTCATCCTCCTTCCTTTAAGCAGCCTTCTTTTCCTTCTTCACCTACCGTGTGTTGTAAAAAGTCCTGTATGTTGGCTGTCTGCCCGGTCAAATGGTGAGGTCCTGATCTATCGACTCTAGAACACTCCCTTCTCCTTTCCTGTGGTAAGGATTGGAAAGAATTGTGGTTGCTTCAGCTAAAGATACGCTTTTGCCACTAGATGGCACTACAAGATTCCTCTGAAAACAATCTCCACAATGAGAAGCTAGCTCACTGCACCTCAACATGGACCTCAAAACTTCCGGAAACAGTCTTCATTCTTCCTGTGTGTAACACATGGTGCTATTTTCTATTTTTATTCTTGTCTTCATAGTTAAAAAAAAATGAAGATTTTTCACAGTGTTCAAATTGAATTTGATAGTAATGAGGCACACACTGTTGAAATCCATACTGTTTAATTTTTTTGTTCTTATTCATTTATTTTGTGGTATTAGGATTGAATGTAGTGCCTTAAGCAAGAAAGGTTCCACTGAGTTGTTTTGTTTTGTATTTTTGCTTGCTGAGACAGGATTTCATTACTTAGCCCCAGCTTGCCTGCCTGGAACTTGCTATGTAGATCAGGCTAGCCTAGACCTCTCAGATCTGCCTACCTCTGCCTCCTAAATGCTGGGATTAAAGGTGTGAACCACCATGACTGGCTCTACAACTGAGCTTTACCCTTTGTCTACAGACTGAGTAAACTCACTGTGGTCAGACTGTAAGTGTGTTGTTTGCTTTGGACTGTGTAGACTCAGGTAGCAAGGCCTGGCCATTAGTGAGCATGTTTGCATACTGTATTAAACACCTCACTCCACGTGCTTCCTCATGGTACCTGCACATGTGCAAACACCAGTGAGAGACAAGCCTGTACAGAAATAATGTCACTTACTAGGGCAAGGCAGAAGTCAGTCTTGTTACCTAGTGTAACACATCTGTAACCTCAGCCCTTGGGAGGGTGAGACAGGAGGAATGCAGATGCTGAGACCAGTCAGGATATATAGGAGACCTTGTCTCAAAACCAAAATCAAATAAGAAAAGGTGTTTTTTTTTTTTTTAAAAAAAAAGATGTATTTATTTATTATGTATACATTGTTCTGCCTGCATGTATTCCTGCGGCCAGAAGAGGGCACCAGATCTCATTATGAATGTGAACCACCTTGTGATTGCTGGGACTTGAACTCAGTACCTCTGGAAGAGCAGCCAGTGTTTTTAGCCTCCGAGCCTTCTCTTTAGCACAAGAGAAAGAAGTCTTATTGGTAGTTACAAGGAAAAGATGTAGTGTCTGCTTCTGGGAGCTTAGACTGCAGTGTGATGTACTTACTGCACACACCCTTTAGTCCTGACTTAGTTTTAACGAACATGGGGTTAGAGGTGTAAAGATTCAGAGTAGGAGTTAGGAAATTTTCTGTTACAATTGATAATCTTGACATAATGTTTACCTAGTGAACAGATGATCATAAGTCCCTGTGAAGGGTGAGATGGGTTATTTTTATTTAGGGTCCTGGGAAAGGAATTAGCGATAAGAAGAGAGGTGAAACATGATTGAAGTGGGAAACATTCATGGTGGTGTCATGTTAGTGTGAAGATGTCAGGTGGGTCTTGTTAAGGGGGTTGGGAGGCAGTCCATGTGCATTTATTGGCCTTTTGAAGTAGTTATTTTTTCCCTACGTGATTCTTGGGAACTTGACAGTGATACATCGGACTGAAAAATCTATGCTCACTGCCTGCCTTTTCGACTTTCCCAGGTTTGCGGTGAGCATTGGCTATTGGCATGATCCATACATCGAGCATCTTGTGAGGCAGTCTAAAGAGAGGAAGGCCCCTGAAATTAACAGAGGTAAGTGACCATCTGCCTTCCCACCATCTCAGCACCCTGAGCCCTGAGGCTTTACCGATTTGCTCTTAGGGAGCCTTCCAGGGTATATGCTTCACAAAGCATAGGGAAGGCCTTAGTTTCCAGTGTTCTCACGAACCTGGGATTCTATAAAACTTTCTCATCTCAACCTGATCATAAAAATGGTGTTACTGAAATTTGTTTTCTATTTCCTTTGTTTATAAAAGAGATTACATTTTCCTGTTTAAAATCTGTTAATGTCTACAGATGTGGCTCATTCATAGAGTGCTTGCTTAGCATGCACAAGTTCAGGGGTTCAGTTTCTAGTACTGAAAAATATGCGCGCGTGCGCACACACACACACAACCTCTTTATAAGCCAAGTGTGGTGGGGCATGCCTGTATTTCTAGCACTCTGAAAGTTAAGGCAGGAAAATAGTGAGTTTAAAACCATCTGGACTATACAATAAGGCCCTGTCTCAAAACAAACAAGCAAAAAAACAACCACACACACACAAAACACTAAGCAAAAGAAAACTATCATGTATCTTTCACTATGAACTGTCTGCGTGAGGGTAACCTTTTGTGCCTTTTTATAGCGTTTAACACTGTTGGGCTTTTAAGTCATTTCATCAAGGGTTTGAGGCAGAAACATGGCTTACTTTCTGTCCCAGTGAAAACTAACTGAGAGATCTTAATTCAGCTGTGTGCAGTGTTGGGGAACTTTTGGCTCCTAGCGGTAGATCCTTGCAGATAGTTTCTGTGAGCCATGCAAAGAGATTTAAATACCACGGTTCCCCAGGTAAGGCCATGCTAGTTTCCTTGGTGTTCCTCCCCGTGGTCTTGAGGCAGATTTCCTGATGAGTGTTTCAGAGCCAGTGACCCTTGTGGCACCTGGTTCTCTGGAGGCTGTGAGGGACAGTGTGTGTTGTCCCTGAGTGACTCACAGCTTGTTTCTCTGGAACTCTCTTGAAGGATATTTTGCTCGAGTTCACGGCGTCAGCCAGCTTATTAAAGCTTTTCTCCGGAAGACAGAATGTCGTTGTCAAATTCTCAACCTTGGGGCTGGGATGGACACCACCTTCTGGAAGTTAAAGGTAATTAAAGGTTCTACTACAGTTGCTCCAGTTTAGTTCTTTGGAGATGATTACTTAGTTTAAACTTTTAAAAAATATATTAGGAGAGGGGACTGTCTCAGCTGGTAAAGCAGAGACCCAAGTTCAGTCCCTGGGATCCACATAAAAAGCTGGGCATAGTGGTTTGCACTTGCAACCCTACATTGGGGAGTTGGGGTGGGGCAGAGACTGGTGATCCCTGGAAGTTCTTGGGCCATCTAGCTTAGCGTATGGGGGTTTCCAAGACAACGAGAAATCCTGTTTTGAACAAAAAGTAGAATGCACCTGAGAGGAATGACATTTGAGGTGGTCCTCTGCTCCACATGCATGTGCAAACGCAGTGATCGTGCAAACACACGTGTACAGATGAACATGCATAGAAATTAAAAAAATAAATATATTGAAAGCTATTCAATAGGCTTTTTCATCCCATTCCATCTGCCTAGATACATCCCATAGTCACCCCTACTATAACTGTCAACCCTTTGTTTTTCCTCAGGGCCCAATAAGTTAGATGGTTTCTAATTGTTTTTATACTAAAATTCAATGTGTTTTCTTCTGTGTGTTGATATACAGCATGAAGAAAAAAATTTTTCACCAGAATCACTGAGACCAAATCTATAAATTTATAAATTTGTAATTTTGGTAGTCACTATGATCTGTTGACCATGTAATGTCATTTAGGGTAAGAGTCAGAGATTTGTGAGATGGGTATGCAGGGTTGTTCTGGTTGGAGCTCTGGCTACTCTGAGGGGTAAAGAGGCAGATCTGATCATACTCACAAGGAAGGGACATGACTCTGCTGAAGTTCTGCCTTGACTCCATGATCTTGGTTTTTCTGTGACATGTCCTCTCTGTCACGTGTCCTTTCTGCAGGTTTGTGCAGATTTTCTGACTTCTCTGTGAGGTCAGTCGTGTGTAGTGATGGGTCTGTACATTTCCCTAGATCCTTGTAAGTGTAGAATAAGATAAATAAGAATGTCTGCACATAACCCAGTCTGCTTAGATCATTGGTCTTTAATCAGTTCACCTGATAAGGACTCTGGTCATCAAAGCACCTAGCTTTTGTTTTATGTGAGAAACCAATGGCCAGTGTGATCTTGGTGTTCTTGTTTGCATTGATGAGAGCTTTTATGTGATACAGTGTTACAGTGAGAGCGCTGTGAGGGGTTTCACAGATGGAGGAAGAAGGCCTGGGACAGAGTGTCTTCTGGGATCCAACAACCTGTGGCTTAGAATGGGGACACACATTGCAGTGAACTCAAGTCCTTGTTTACACACAGTGCTTTGGTTATTTGGGGAGGCCTTATTAGTGACATCATTTCCGCAGGCCTATTTTGTCTTTGTAGCAGAGTGTCACGTGGTTGGTATAAGGAACTTGAGCAGATTCTGTGTAAGGGTGTTGCTCTTGAGAGATCCCTCCACTGGGCCTGGGATCCTTTGATCACATGGGTTGCTTTCTTCCTCTTTATTGTAGATAACTTGATAATTATAAATTTGAGATTTTTACTTACAAGCAAAGTTTACTTCTTCTAAGAAGAAAAATTGCCTGTCAGTAGTAAGAAAGAAAATGGCAGAAAGTTTGAAAGTCCTTTGTGGCAAACTTTATATTTTTATTGATAGTCATGTTGATCTGGACCACTTTTTTTCTTAAATCCAAACTTCCTTTTTTAAAATATTTATTTATTATGTATACAATATTATGTCTGTATGTCTGCAGGCCAGAAGAGGGCACCAGATCTCATTACAGATCCACCACGTGAGCCACCATGTGGTTGCTGGGAATTGAACTCAGGACCTTTGGAAGAGCAGGCAATGCTCTTAACCGCTGAGCCATCTCTCCAGCTCCTCCAAACTTCCTTTTTAAGGATATTGTAGATATTTTTCTTGTTTGTTCTTTTATTTTTTTTTAAATTTATGTGTGTAGGTGTTTTGCATGCATGTATGCTTGTGCATGAAGTGCATGCCTGATGTCCACAAAAGCTAGAAGAGGCTGTCAGATCCCCTGGAACTGGAGTTAAAGATGTGGGTCCTGGGAATGGGTCCTGGGAGTTAAACCCATGTTCTTTGGAAGAGCAGTCAATGCTCTTAACTGCGGAGCTTTCTTTCCAGCTCCCTGTTTGCTCTTAGAGAGCAAGAGTTTTAAAAAAGTGATAGGCTAAATCTGGCCCACCACCTGTTTTTATAAATAAAGCCTTATTAGAACACAGTCACTTCCATTTGTTTGTATAGTGTTCATATTTAGCAGCTTTATGACTAGGATGACAACAGAATCCATCTGACCAGAAAAGATTAAACTCTTTTTTTTTTTTTTTTTGGCTCTTTGCAGAAAAGAATTACAAATATATGCCTTAGAGATAATATGCCTTTCCATAAAAGCATAGAAAGAGCTTATCCATGCTCTTACTGTGTCTTTTACCTTCTAGCTAGAAAGGCTGAATCTGCAGAGGTGAAGCTACTACTATGGACTTCCTACTCTTTCTGTGTGTTCTTGGGGAACCCAAGACCCTTTGTATAGATGGGGGTTTCCTGTAGACAAGAAAACTGGGACTGTCACAAAAAGAATGAGGGATAAAGGGTAAAGCCTCTTAAGGTACCTCACCTTCTTAATGTCTCTTTAGTCCTGTGGAAGGAAACAGCATTGACTTTGGCAGTGTGTGAAATGGTTAGCTGTGGTGGCTTCCCTCTGCATCTAAGTGATGCTCTTCCCGGCTGCCCTGCCCTGGACTTGAGGCCTCTGTATCAGCTGATTATCTAGGAGCTCTTTAGGCTTGTGGTGTTAATGCACAGGGAATCGGAGCAACAGTGATTGAAGTATGATTTGCCACAGCTGTTTTTCCTTCAACTGGAAAGGATGCTGGGTGGCTCAGGAGGGCAAGTGCCTGGACTAGCCTTGGAAAGAGGACACTGTCTTATGAGTTATAGGTCATTGTGAATTACCATGTGGGTGCTGGGAATCAAACTTTGCTCCTCTAGAAGTACACTTTTAACCACTTGAACCCTCTCTCCAGCCCTTGTAAGTGTTCACTCCTTGGCCAATTCAGATAAATAGTGGCGCTGGGATCTGGAAGAACAGTTATTGCTCTTAACCACTGAGCCTCCCCCCCCCCCACCCCTGTTTTCACTTTTGGCCCATTCAGATGAATGGTGGAGCTGGGATTTGAGTGTTGTAAGGAGGCCGCTAGTTGGGTTCCTGATCCCCCAGCAGCTCAGTCGGTGGCACCAATTGTGAGAAGGAGGCCACTTGTTGGTTCCTGGATGCTCAGCCCCAAAATAATCACACAGAAACTGTATTAATTAAATCACTGCTTGGCCCATTAGCTCTAGCTTCTTGTTTGCTAACTCTTATATCTTAATTTAACCCATCTCCATTAATCTGTGCATCACTACGAGGTCGTGCCCTACCAGCAAAGTTTCAGTGTGTCAGTCTCTGGCATCTGCTCTATGGCTTCTCCCTGACTCTGCCTTTTCTCTCCCAGTATTCAGTTTAGTTTTTCCTGCCTAGCTAAGTTCTGTCTTGCTATAGGTCCAAAGCAGTTTCTTTATTAATCAATGGTATTCACAGCATACAGAGGGGGATCCCACATTATTTGAGCCTTATTCTTCATTGGCTTTGTTGCAGCAGCAAAGAAATGATCCTAACCCTATTCATGGGATGCTTCTTCATAGTAACTGTTTCATTCTAAATGAATCCCTAAAATGTCGGGCATTACAGATTCTACATTGACTTCATGATGGTCTCTAACTGTTTCAAGTACTTTTGGAAGAATACGTACTGTGTTTGGACACCTCACAACTCCTTCCCAACCACCTCAGTTTCGAGCTCTGTAAACCTTACCTGGACAAATACAGAAACCTCTTTGTTTTTCTTGTATCTATTTTTAAATGCATGTATATGTGTGTGTTTTTTGTGTGTGTACATGTATATATGCGTGTGTATGTGTACGTGTGTGTGTATGTGCCTGTGTATACAAACACATATAGAGGCCAGAAAACAACCTTGGGTCATCCTTAGGAACACCATTTACCTCCTCTGAGACAGGTTTCTCACTGGCTTAGAGCTTAACAGTCAGGCTAGACCACCTGACTAAAGAGCCTCAGGGACCATCCTGTCATTGCCTCCTCAGCACTGGGATTACAAACTCACACCACCATGATTGGCATTTTACATGGGAATTACACTCCGGTCCTGGCCTTGTCAGACAAGCACTTCGCTGACTATCTCCCAGCTTCTGTATTTACTCTTGCTCTTCTTGAATACATTTTCAATGAGACCATGGTAATTTGAAAATGCTCTTCTGGGGCCGCAAAGATGGCTTACTAGCTAAGAGCACTGCTGTTCTTGCAGAGGACCCAGGTTCAGTTCCAGCATCCACATGATGGTTCATAACCATCTTTATTTCCAGAGGATTGAATGCTCTGTAAGGGCAGAAGGCACCCACATGTTGCACAGGCGTTCATACAGGCTCAGGGAACATTCGTGCACATGAATAAAAATAAATAAAACACTTCTGATCATGTGAGTCTCCTGACCTAAAATCCCCAAGTACCGCCATTGCGGTTAGATAATTAGTGCTGGCTCCGTGCAGTGACTACGTGTGTTAAGGATGCTTCTGTGTGCTTTTCTCCAGGATGAAGGTCTTCTCCCAAATAAATATTTTGAAGTCGACTTTCCAATGATAGTCACGAGAAAGCTGCACACCATCAAGTAAGTGTGGCTTTGTTGGGGGACAGTATGTCAGTTGGTGGAGACACAGCTCATGTGTAGTGGCTGGATGCGAGCGACTTCACTGGTCTCTCCCTTCCCTTCCCTGGAGCCAGCAGCCCTGCATGTGTGACCGTCAACATTCAGTGTACATTCTGGGCGACTTTCCTTACCCATTAAGGAAACTTCTCTGAATATTAAAGATTGGTCTTTGCAGAGCATAGTTGAATACTCTGCATTTTTTTGTGTATTTTGATTATTGCTTTATCCTGAGATATAGACAGTAACCTGGCCCCAAATTGATGTAGTGTTTTTTTTTTCTTGATTTGAGTGTGTGGAATGCTTGATGGCTGTTCTGAGGGACTTGAGGAGCTTTAGATGCCTCTTGCTCTCCGGTTTTTTTTGTTTTTGTTTTTGTTTTTGTTTTGTTTTTTTTTGCTGGGGGCTTGGGGTGACTCACTCCTCATGGTAGACTTGAGAACTGAGTTCTCAGAACCCTTTTTGTAGATGAAGAATCTCCTGCTCAGAGATTTTGACTTGCCCAGGGTCACCTGACTAGCGTGGGTGGAGCTAAGATCTAAACCTGACTTCAAAAGCCCTCTTTCAGGACTTAATAGGGTTTTTTTTTTAAATTATTTTTTATACTCTTATCCCACTTTAAGTAGTTATTTTTCAAAAAGCCTAATTATTATATATTTTAGAATTCCATAGACATTGAAACTTTGAGTTTATTCTGTAGAGCTACTACATCCCTATGTGTTGGGAGTGTTTTTCGCTTTCCTGTGGTCTGTACTATGAGTTTTCCAGTTTTTCTAAATATTAGCTACATTTTATATTTTTTTAATGATGAATGGTGACTCTTGGAACTGTATAGTTCTGCTGAGCTCATTCGAACTCTGGGTGAGGTGGGCGTGAATGGGCCTTCGATGAAGCTCAGGATGACTTCCTGGAAAGAAAAACAGGCTTTACTTGTGCATAGTTGTGTGGTTCTCTGGTTTCTGATTTTTCTTCATTTGCTGGATTACAGGAGTTATATTATAAATATTACTGAGCTTTTATTCATGACAAAGAACAGACAGGATCATAAGATACAATTTTGCTCGAGAATAAGCAAGAACTGGAGGTAGCTGGGAAATCCTGGACCTTTTAGAAAATTTGTGTTAGCCTACTTCTAGTTATTTTTAAGTCAGTTACTTGTGATCATTGTGTGATTGAAATGCCAGCTGCAACAGTGCAGAGCTGACGTAACCTGCAGCCTGTGTGAACTGCTGCTGTGCACACAGGGTCAAGTGCAGGTAGACTGAAGAGAGACTTCCAGAGTGGCCCTTGTTCTGCACATTAGCAGTGCACCAAACTTCCCTCATCCAAAAATACGAAATAAAAATGCTCCAGAATCAGAAATACTTTCAGCATTATGTTCAATTAGGGAAGTGTTACAGTAATTTATGCAAATATTTCAGAATCTCACAGACATCCCAAATCTGTACAGTTTCTCGTCCCAAGCATTTTGGATAAGGAGTATTCGGTATGTGCTCACAGTTTGTGATAGACGTCTGCATTTGGCAGTAAGTGCACTCATGTGTTAATTGACTCTTTTCTCCTCTTTCCCATCTTCCCATAGAAACAAGCCACTTCTGTTCAGACCCATCATGGAGTTACACCCAGAGGACACTCTGCAATTAGGCAAGTAGCCTTGCGAGCCGCACAATGGGATCATAACACATTTTGCTTGTTGAGACGCGGCCCTCTCTGCCGTCCTTTCATTATGCTCATCTGCTCAGCTCTGTCTGTCCATATTGCTGCTCAACAGTTTTTTCTTTTTGGTAGTGCTGGGGGTCAAATCTAGGACCTTCTATGTGCTAGTCAAGCCTGGTACCACTTAGCCACATCCCTGAACCCCATGTAATTGTAGTTGTTCCTGACATGTTCTCTCAGTGCCGAGCCTTCCGGATTGTGGGTATTTTTTAGATCTCTACCAGGATTTTCCATTGTGTTCAGTTGTGATTGACAGAGAAGGTCAAGGGGTTTAATAGTCTTTCAGACTCTGAGAGTGGTGTTTTCTAATTATCCACATAGTAGCCTTCAGGCACCCAGACAGACCTCATTTTGTGCACACCTGCAGAGCCATAGTCGAGTTCCCTGTGACCAGAGTCTTGATAAAGCTCCCGCATACGTGTGTGTGGCTGCCAGCCTTTGTTTTCCCATACAGACTGGCTGTACCTGTTGCGACTATTCCCTTTTCTGTAGCAGTTACTGTAAGCTTGGTTAATTGGTGTCACATCAGGATCTGTCGTGAGCATCCTTGTATTTTGCGTTACTTTGATCAACAATGTAGAAGTGTATGGAGTAGAACCTCTTCCCATTGCACACTCTCAATGCAGCATTACCATGCTTGTTATGTTCATTTTTCACCTTTCTTTTTGAATTATGAGCCCTATGATTACAAGGGGTTTATTGTTTGTTTTTGTTTTTTCTTTAGGATCCTGCTGGGTAGCTTGGGTTGAACTAGAACTTAGGTATCTTTTACCTATATCTCCTCAGAGCTGGGGTCACAGGCAGTGCCATCATGCCCAGCTTAGACCACATCTTCTTGGGCATCTTTGTATTCCAGAATTGGCTCAGTGCCCTATACATAATACCAACAAATTATCAGATTGGTGGGCCGATGGGTAAATTAATCTTATATATAGTGAAGAAATCCACCTGAGACGGATTCCCTCTTACTTTAAAACTTTTGTTTTAAAAACTCAAGTGTTCTGGGAAAATTTCTTATCTAAAAAGTCTCTCACTGAAAAGGTCATGGGTTTGATTGGTTGAGTTCAGCCAATATCAGCTTGCCTTTTAAAAAGCTTACTTGAAAACACCAGTACTGATGAGTCATTCTTTGCACATGTGTGAGTGTTATTTATAGACTATGTACCATTGCTCACACCTTCTCTTTGCTCATGCCTTTTCCTGAACTGTAGCTTCAGGCAGCAGTTATCACAGCCTTTATCAGTTACCCTTTGCTCTGTAACAAACCACTGCTAGCCACGTGGCCCAAGGCAGCTTCCGTCTGCTTAGCTCACAGTGTGGCTTGTCTCTTTGAGTTTGGTTCATTTGGATAGAACTTCTGAGTTGGGCTCTCTCTTAGCTAAAGACCTCCAGTGTGTCTCTACGCATTGAGCTAACCCTGTCTGTTTAGAATTACAGTTCCTTGAAGGTCTCAATAACTTGACAATACCCTAGGCAAAATATATTTTCCACACTTCAGTTTATTAATTAGTTGTGTTCAGACATCCGAAATATATATGTTGTAGCAATTTATTAGTCATTTAAAAAGCAACAGACAAGTTGGACAAGCACAATCTGTACAATCATACATTTAGACAAGTCTTGCTGTGCAGTCAAGGCTGCCTTAAAATTGCCATCCCTTTGCCTCTGCCTCACAAGTGGTAGGATTCCTCATGTGTAACTGTTTCTTTCTTTAAAAACTGCAGTTACTAATGAGACCTGTGTACCTGTTTGATACTGTTAGGAAAAAATCTTAAGAAGAGCCTCTCTGCTGATGCAAAATAACTCCAATTAAATCAGATTAGACCAAATAAACAATGCCGACGTTTAATAAATGCCACACTCTCAGGTGGCCAGGAGCAAGGTGGAGGGAAGACTAGCACACGTGGGTACCCTTACCAAAGATGGTGGTGAGGTTAAAATGGCGGCTACCCATGTGTTTGTATTTTTCAAAGCTGCTGTAATCTGTAGATATAAGTTTTACTGATCTTAACATAAGAACACATGGATACAGAAAATTAAATTGAGCACATCACAAAAACACATTTACACATTCACATAGACATACTGTGGCCACATCATTCTAACAGACAGATAAATAAAACACTTGGAAACCTGTGCTAGGGAACGGGAGTGTGGGGGTGAAGGGAGCAGGGAAGCGGGGAGGGAGTGCACATCTAGGAACTGCGTACTTTTAGAGCGTTGTTTGTTTTCGATAGCCCCCCTCCCAATGCAAAATAACTCCAATTAAACCAGATTAGACCAAATCAAAAATGCCCACGGTTAATGAATGCTGCACTCACAGGTGGATCAGGGCTGCACGGCAGGGCGAGGAGCCCAGTCAAACCCTGGAGACCACGTGTTCCTTTTTCTGGCACAAGCCTAAATTTGGTCCCTGGTCAGGACCAAAGCAACTCCCAGGCCAGCGGCTGGGGTGAAGCTTCCAATCAGATACCTCACAACTTCACCTTGGAATCAGGTTGGGCACCACCTTTGTCCACATTGTAATTCACAGTGTTGACTTTTTATTCACAGTACATAAGAGCTTAGCTTCCCAGAGGGATGATAACATTGGAGGAATTCAGAGTGATTAGTATTGAAAAGTTTTGGTCTAGTAGTTTGCTCATATCTGACTGATGTTGAGTATCTGTTTCTTGCAGAAATTCAATACATTCTGCTTCACCCCTGTGAATTTGCTATGCCACCCAATGCATCTCAGTACACATTTAGAAACCTTGAACTCATCAGTTTAGCATCTTCAGTACTAAATATAATCATTTGAGATCAGTACTATCCACATTTTACGATTAAAAGATAGTCACGTGGATATGTTATTTGCCCAGAGACATAAGGCTGGCAGTGGGCTAAGTTGAAATGTGCCCATTTTACTTGAAAGAAGGTTTTTTTTTTTTTTATGATCTGCATAGACCACAATGTGTTGTGTGATTCCTCCTCCTTTTGTTTGTCCAGGCTGATGTTGAATTCCAGGGCTCAAGCAATCCTTTTGCCTCAGCCTCTTGAGTGCTGGCACTGTGTGGTAGTTACTGCATGACTTTTAAGAGTTTACTGTTGACTAGTAGATCTTGAGTTTTGACGCCTCTCTTTATGTCAGGGTCTCTGTGTCTTCATTACTGATATTTCAGGTCTGATTCTGCTGGGGTGGCCCTGCTCTTCATGGGATACTCCCACAACACAGCCTTCAGTCACGACAAGCAAGTGTGTCTTTAGATATGCTACATGCTCCTGAGAGGCGAAGTTGTTCCCGGTTGAGAACCTCCACTTAGGCTGAAGAATGACTGAGCTTATGTAATGAGAATTTTCATAATTGTTTCTTCATTTTGGCTATGTATAAGCTAGTTCTTAATTTTTAAGCCTTATCAGTTGTATTTTCAAAGCTTTGCCTTTGTCCCCTTAGCAACAAGTCCTCTAAAGGAATTTTGATTATAAAACTACCAGTAGTAATGCATAGGTGTCATTTTTAATTTTTTTTCCCCTGAGACAGGTCTCATGAAACTCGGGCTGTGTTCTGTATTAGAAAACTGCATGCTTCAAAATTCTGTTGTGTGTCTTTTGGGTTTTGGTCAGGAATGGAAAAACTCATTCAAGATTTCTTGCCATCAATGTATTATTTTTTAAGAAGGCATATAGGCATATGGGAATTGTTTGTTTATATTATAGGCAAACAAGTGTTTTGCATTCTTTATATTATTTTCTTGAGCCAGCACTGTGGTACCCTGGGACTGACTCTGGGTTCCCTGTTTGTCCTTTATTGCTTCACTGACAGCTAAGGGGTTCCCAGGATATGTTTATATTTTCTTTCAGTGTGCTTGAATCAGCCAAATGGGCTGATGAAGATAAGGGCACCTGCTTACTTGCTATAATTTTTCCCCCTTAGTCCTGGGAATTGACTAGAGGGTTTTATACATGCTAGACAGATGCTCTGCCATTTTCAGCACCTTTTGTGAGGGTTCTCAGAGCCAGAATGTGAATCAGTAGCAGTGGTTCAGGATGGCTGTGGTCTCACCTTCCCACATGGTCTGTACCGGTGAGGAGACAGTAAAATAAGGTCTGTGTAGAGATATAATAGGTCTGGCATGGTGACACACACCTGTTACCCCAATAATCAAGTAGTGGGAGGATTTCTGGGAGTGCAAAACCAGACTGCGCTAAAAAACAAACAAACGCGTCATTCAATAATTGAAAGAGTTTCTAAGGACACACCAAAGTATCATGACTACATTGATGACCCTCGAAGCTGGGGTCATTGCATTTGTAGCCATTGCTTTCTAAGTGTAGGCTCCAGACCAACAACTTCAGAGCCACCTGGGAATGTGCTAGAGATGCAGTTGTCTGCGGTGGGGAGGTCTACACAATCCTAACTCAGTGCAGCCCTCAGGGAGACTGTGATGGTCCTAAAGCTTGAGAACAGTTGCAGACACCATTCCCACCTCTGGCACAGCTGAAAACTCAGTTCTTACTCATTTGTAAATTCATTGCTACATAAACTACTTTCTTTTAAACGTAACACATTACAGATGGCGTAGTGTTTGTAGAACCACCCACTCAGTATTTCAATAACTCAATCTTGGACTTCTTAATTCCACTCACATTCCTGTGCCTTGAAGAAGTAACTGATAGGTACTTCATCTGTGTATGTATGATGGAGGAAGGTCATTGGCTAATAAAGGAACTGCCCTGGCCCATTTTATTGGTTAGAGGATAGGTGGGAGGAGTAAACAGAACAGAACGCTGGGAGGAAGAGGAAGTGAGGTCAGAGACTCCACTGCTCTGCTCTCGGGAGCAGACGCCTCAGAGAGACGCCATGCTCCTGGCTCCTGGGCAGACGCACACTATGAAGCTCCGACCCAGGATGGACTAGGCTAGAATCTTCCCGGTAAGACCGGTTCTCACAGATTATTAGAGATGGGTTGATCGGGATAACAGGATTAGCCAGTAAGGGCTAGGGCTAAAGGGCCAAGCAGTGATTAAAAGAATACAGTGTCTGTGTAATTATTTTGGGCATAAGCTAGCCGGGCAGGCGGCCGGGGGTGCTGAGAACGCAGCCCTGCCACCCCTATTATTACATATGTACCAGAGTGCTCATTAGTGTCTCAAAGGGAGAAAATTTGGCAATACCATGTGTCTGGTAGTAAGGGATTGGCTGAATATGAGGTGTTTTAGTTTGGTGATCCCATGTGTTCTGTAGTGAGTGTGGGACCCTCATCCCTTATTCTCAAAGGGGCAAGAAGAAATTTCCTAGCAGAATGTTTTCCCAGGAAGATAGTGGCCTTCCCCTCTCCCACCCAGGAGATTCTGAGCACAAGGTCACTTAGCTCTCAGCCCAGCCAGCCACCTGGTACAGGCTGATAAAGATGGCCTAACTCAAAAACAGTGGCCTTGCTCTAAAAACAAGGAAAAAGCTGACTTAAAATGGGAGGGAGCAAAAGTCCTTGTACCCATGCCAAAGCATCTTCAAAGATTCTCTTTGTAGTTACGCCTTTAAAAGCTTACCCCACAGAGGAGATACAACTCCTCTCTACCTTGTGGTAACAGGGATGGAGATGAGTTCCAAACATGTTTGTATTATGCTGATTAAACCTTGCTTATTACAGTCTGGGCCTCTCTGGTGGTCTCTCTCTGGGTGTCGTAATCTGGGCACAACATATGGTGCGTTGCCTGGGAACCCCAGAGATTCCACCAGGATGATGGAAGTCCGGAGGTTTATTAGCATCTACCGGTGAGAGAGCACTCTTTGTCTTTTGTCTCTTGTCTCTTTGTCTCTGCCATTTTGTCTTGTCTGTCTGACTATGGCTGCTTTGGTTTTGTACCGGTCGACCAATTTGGGATTTTGGTATTGACAGGTGTTCTCTGAAGTGGATGCACTTGTACAGAGACGCTGGAGAAGCAAGGGACACCTTGTCTTCCATTTCCAGATAGGGATGGGAATTCTCCCACTCCCAGGTCATTTTCAGACAGGGAGTTTTGCTCCCGGGTCATTTCCAGAAGACAGGGATGGGAATTCTCCCACTCCCGGGTTAGTTCCAGACAGGGTCCTTTCTGGCTCCGGGTCATTTTCAGATAGCGATGGGAATTCTCCCACTCCCGGGTCATTTCCAGACAGGGAGTTTTGCTCCCAGGTCATTTCCAGACAGGAACCTTTCTGGCTCCGGGTCATTTCCAGACAGGGGGAGTTTTGCTCCCGGGTCATTTCCAGACAGGAACCTTTCTGGCTCCGGGTCATTTCCAGACAGAGGGAGTTTTGCTCCCGGGTCATTAGACAGGGGCCGACATTCTACCTACAGGCCCTGGGTCATTTGCACCTACCTCAGAGATAGCTGTTTGGGTTTTTCCCACGATGGGAGAAAATATGTCTTGTCCCAGGAATTTGTCAGAGTCCTTTTATATTATGGTAATTGTTGCTTTGTTTTTTTCTCTCTCAACTTCTATCCTGGAGGCTCCTATGGAACCTGTTAGGGATGGAGAGGAGAGAGACAAAATCTTGGAGAGCACCAAAAAAAAAAAAAAAAAAAAAAAAAACCCCAAAAAAAAACTGGGCGCAAAGAGGGTAGGGAGTACATGCCTGTGACTTGAAATGTCTCTGGGGCCACTACATTGGGTGCATGGTGATCCCCTGGAGTTCCAGAAAACTGTTGTCTCTTTGTTTATTATGTTTAAGACTGGACTGACGAGAAAAAAAAAAAAGATAAAACTTAAATGTAAAGTGCAGATGACTTGACAGCAGCCCATCTAGGGTCTGTATCCCTAGCCCTGAGCCAGGTCTGATGGCAGAGAATACACTGGGTGCTGAGAGCTAAGCCTTGAGACTGCAGGAAATGCAATGTGACAGAGGATCTGGGTGGGGGCTGGGGGGCTCTGAGGCCAGGGAGCAAGGACACCTGAGATGGAGCGGGTGGCAAAATCATCGTGCACCCGGCTGAGGGAAGAGGAATGCTTATTCAAAAGGCAGGCGGTGGAGCTAGTGACTGAGAGGGGCCGGCTGCAGCAGAACAGGGCAGCCCCTTCTTCCTTGTTCTCTCTCTATATCTTGAGGGTCTTTGCCTTAGGCAGGAGAGAGGGACCTGATGCAGGTGGCAGGAAATTGACCACTTACAATTAAGAAACTGTGCAAATGTAAAACAAAAAATCTGAGATCATGGTCAAAAAGCTAACAACAACAACAAAAAACTTTTTAAAAAAGCATTGACAGCCAAGGACACTCTCTGTGCCCACTGCTGCTGCCCCCTCTTTTCTTTTCTGAGCCAAGTTCTTTAGTATGATAACACTCACAGTCTCTTCTGCTGACCAGCAGTTTCCCGTCTTAACCCGTTCCTGTTCTGATACTGCTTATAAGAAATTTTCAATTATACCAACCTGTAACTTCAAAAAATGTTAATTTTAAAGTAAATGTCAAAAGATACATTATGTTTAAAAATGTTTTTGTTTACACAGGGAAAAAAATATATATGGGTTACAAATACTTATCACCTTTAGTTAAGATGCATATTTCTGCTTTTGTTTTATGCAATGTTCTGTTAAATAAAATCACAAAAAAGACTTTGATAAAAATTTACACATTGTCAAAAAGGGTTTTTAATAGAGGTTTTTATGTTGTCCAAAAAACAAAAAAAAGACAAAAGACTAAAATAATAATAATAAAAATGTTTGTCTAAAAATGTCTGACTAAACCAAAAAAAAAAAAAGAGAGCCAGACTTAAAATTATAAAAGGCCAAAAGATGTTCGCTATAATTTCTTTTCTTTTTTTTTTCTTTTTTTTTTTTTGGTTTTTTCGAGACAGGGTTTCTCTGTGGCTTTGGAGCCTGTCCTGGAACTAGCTCTGTAGACCAGGCTGGCCTCGAACTCACAGAGATCCGCCTGCCTCTGCCTCCCGAGTGCTGGGATTAAAGGCGTGCGCCACCACCGCCCGGCTTCGCTATAATTTCTTGTACCTAAATGTTTAACAGTTAATTTTGGTTTTAAAAAGCTTTGTCTTGTTAAAGGGTCATGGTTATTTCTTAAAAAATTACATATGTTTATTTTGTTAAAAAAATTAGTCTTTGGTAATTATAAGTTTTGTACTTGTTATTTTTCTCTGAGCTCTGGTCATTAGATTCGGGTTCACAAAAATTTGAATGTCTTTTTGATATAGATAATGTTAAAACTGTTTTATGCTGTTCTTTATTGATATACAAGAATGTCAGTTACCACCGGGAATAGCTGAAATTAGACACCCAAAGGAAAAAAAAAAAACAGCTACAAAGAAAGAGACATGTATTGAGTGGTTCCATTTTATTACATGTATGTGAAAGAGAGGTGTTTCGCTATGTGAGTTTAAGCATAAAGGAAAAAGGCTACAATGTTATACTTACTACGTTAGAAGATGTGGTTTGGATTAATTTTTTCTCTCCTATGATGTGATTTATTTATGTGTGTATGGTATTGGGGTCCAGCACCGACATAAATTATTTTTTGAACCAGAGTGGAGGTGTGGGAATAAAGACACAACTCACGTGACTTTATCGGGAGGGAGTTTTCAGGGATCCTTTATGATGTCCGAATTTGCATCCTGAAAATCATCTGCGTTTATCTTTCAAACAGCTTTTATACCAAAATGGGAACTGAGAGGGAAGTTCATTAGCATTCTGTTTCCTAGGTAGCGGGAAGAATGACTGTGGTCATGTCCACCTTATCCATGTCCATTTTGTCATGTCTTCCTGTCTATCTTCCTGCTCTGAATGCTTAACTCTGTCATGTAGACTGAATTAATACCTCTTCCCCAGGTGACCTCCCAAATTACAAAGAAGGAGCAGAGTGACATTAGCATATCCTGACCACTTGCTTTGGATGGTGTCAGTTTGTCTCAAAAGGCTAGGTGACCACTTTTTGTGTGACAGATAAAAATCGTGCTCTAAAATTCTGGCTGCCATACAATGTAGAAATATGGGCCCCTATAGTGTGGATGTGCGTTTGAGGCTGCATGTGCCCATGCGACCAGAAGAGGTGTCCTCTTCTAGCCTTATCCACAGGGTCTTTCACTGAACCTAAAGATTGCTGTTTCAGTAATAATAGTAGTAACAAAAATAATAATTGCTTTTATTATTTTAACTAATAATAACAACTATTATTCTTTTGTTCTTTTTTGGGGGGGCTACGGTTTCTCTGTGTAACTCTGGCTGACTTGCTATGTTGATTAGATTTACCTTTAATTCACAGAGATCTATCTGTTTCTGCCTCCTAGGTATTAGGATTAAAGGTGTGTGCCACCATACCTGGATTAAAGTTACTCTAATTTTGAAAAAGCTGTATCTAGGTTTAAGGGATGGCTCAGCATTAAGAGCACTTGCTGTCCTTCCAGAGGACCTAGGCTTGGTTCCCAGCATCCACAAAGAAGGCTCCAAACCATCTGTAACTCCCAGTTCCAGGCGATCTGGTCCCCTTTTCTGGCTTGCGAAGTCACAAGGCTTGCACATTATATACAGCCATACATGGCAGGCAAAACATCCATACACGTAAAAAAATTTAAAATAAAGTAACCTTTAAAAAAAAAAAGGAAAAGGCCATGTTCATTAAAAGAATGATGTCATTGACTTGTGTTGAAATGAGATTTTATTTTTATTTTTTGTATTTACAGATGGGCACATGCTGGATTCAAAGAGATATGCCATCATTGGAGCAGATCTCCGAGACCTTTCTGAGCTGGAAGAGAAGCTAAAGAAATGTAACATGAATACACAGTGAGATTTTTTTTTTAACCCCTTATGTGTTTGTGATTTTATGTGAGTATGAGATGCAGTTAGTCATGGTGTAGCTTGTTACTTGCTACTGGTCTTTATTGTATCATTTCTACCTAGTGTAGCTTTTTGAGATTTTTGTTTTCTCATTTGTTTTTGTTTTTCGAGACAGGGATTCTTGTGTGACCCTGGCTGTCCTGGAACTCACTGTAGACCAGGCTGGCCTCAAACTCAGAGATCTGTCTGCCTCTGCCTCCAGAATGTTGGAATTAACGGCGTGTGCCACTACTAACTGCCTGGTGTTTTCTGAGATTTCTAAGCATTCTTTTCCTTGTCTGCTTTTCACCTATGATTCCTTTTTAAAGTGCTGGCCTTAATATAATAAACTAAGTGTGAGAGAGCTTATAATAACATGTAAAGAGAGAGCTAGTTTCATAATTCATGGAGACTAACATGTACCAGGCTTTTCTCTTTTGGGCCACCAACCAGCTCCCAAATCATGACATCGAGACTTATTAGTTATGAATGCTTGGCCTAGCTTAGACTTGTTTCTGGCTAGTTCTTTTAACTTTAATTAACCTGTTTCTCTTTATCTACCTTTTGCCTTGGGGCTTTTTACCTTTTCTTCCTGTATTCCTACTTTTCCTGCTCTTCTGTGTCTGGCTGCCTGCCTGGCTACAGGTGTGTCTCTCTCTTTCTCCCTTGTTCTCCTCTCTTTTGTTCCTTCTCTTTTTGGCCTAGACTTTTCCCTCCTATTTATTCTCTCTGCCCCCCAGCCCTGCCTATCCTTTTTCTGCCTAGCTATTGGGCATTCAGCCTTTTATTAGACCAATCAGGTGCCTTAAGCAGGCAAGGTGAAACAACAGTACATCTTTTCATAATTAAACAAATACAGCAGAAACAAATGTTAGCACACCTTTACACAGTTAAATATTCCACAACACTAGTGCTCATGAAAAGTGCTCCATAAATGACCAAAGTGACAGAATTTCAGGATATATGATATATGCATATCATGCAAGCCACAGTAGCCTCCAGATGAGCAGGGCTATCAAACCACAGTAGCCTCCAGATGAGCAGGGCTATCAAACCACAGTAGCCTCCAGATGATCACAGCTATCAAACCACAGTAATCACCAGATAACCAGGGCTATCAAACCACAGTAGCCTCCAGATGACCAGGGCTATCAAATCACAGTAGCCACCAGATAACCAGGGCTATCAAACCACAGTAGCCTCCAGATGACTAGGGCTATCAAACCACAGTAACCACCAGATGACCTGGGCTATCAAACCATAGTAGCCTCCAGATGACCTGGGCTATCAAACCACAGTAGCCTCTAGATGACCTGGGCTATCAAACCATAGTAGCCTCCAGATGACCAGGGCTATCAAACCACAGAAACCATCAGATGAAACTCTGGTTTTTCTCCCATCAAGGGGGGAAGAATGTGTAAATCTGACTGTATATAGTGTTGATCAGGATGAGAGTGGTGGGGAGTAGGCTGTAGTGACTTACTTACCATGTGGGAATGAACTGGCTACAAGCCATGATGAGGAATAGTGGGAAGTAGCTAGCAGAGTTGAAATGTGCGATTCAAAGGTTCCATTTTGGGTATATTTTCCAAACAAGGTGCTTCATGCTTAAGGTAGGTGTTAATTACAACAAGCAGAATAGAGGAAAACTGGAAATGCCCACTAGAAGGATAACGGATGAATAAAACATGAAGTGCATGACTCAAATCAACATGGAGACAACTCAGAATCTAATGATGAATTTAAAATGATGAAGTTGCAAAATAATGCCCTCATTGTGAGACCAGATATGTAAAGCTCACATCTCCAGACTACTGACTGTCTTTTCATAAGTACGCTTACATTGCAGAAGTGGCTCATAAGTAACAAGAAGGTTCCTCCGTCCACACCAAGCTTCTGAGAGCTCTCCTCTGTGGAGATGAGGGAATGAAGTGTGGATTTAGAACCAGGATGCTGGTCAAAGTGAGACTGCAGTTCAACACATAGTGGGAGGTGTCTACACAGATGAAGATGACATTGGGGTGAATATTTGAAGTTAGTATACAGAAGTACATTTAAAGGGAAGAGATGGTCAAGGGAATGCTGCTTAGAAAAACAAAGCATCCACTGCAGAAAGTTAAAGAAATGAGCAGCTGGAGAAATAAGTGCCAGGACAAGTGTATTGGGGATAGAGCCTGGCTAAGCTTAGCTGTCCCTGGAGCAGGGGAAGACCTCTGTTCTTCTGAGGAAGGTGGGAGGATGTGAAATACGGGCAAGCTCTGGAAGAAGGGATAGCATCGAGTCTTCATGGGTTTTCTAACATGTCTGCCACCGCCAGTGTGGGAACGGGGTCTTTGCACACTGATGATCTTCTTGACCTGTTCAACCCACACTCAGCAGCAGGGTTATTCTCTGTAGAACTTGTAGACCCACCTGTCCCATGCGAGAGATGGCTCTTATGGCCTAGTGCTGCCATGGAGTCTCTGGCTCACTGAGAATTCAGAGAGTACTGTTGGTTCCCAGGCCGTGGTGCTGTTAGGAGGGATGGAACCTCTAGGAAGGGGAACTGGGTAGGAGTTACTTTGGGAGCATGCTCCTGAAGTTGGAGTCACAGTCTGTCCCTCTGCTCCTGGTTATGAAGTGTACCTTATTTTGCCATTTGTTTCTGGCTATATCGAGCCTGGCCTTGGGCCCAAAGCAACAGGGCCAACTGGTCTTGGATGGAAAACTCTAAAACTGTGTGCCAAAGTAAACCTCTTCTCTTTATGGCTTTCACATATGTGTTAGAGGATGAGAGAGAAGTGAGTCAGTGAATGCCGAGTTCATGCCTCTTGTCCCTGGGATTTCCTACTCACAGTTCTCAGACTATAGCATGTAGCGTATTCTTCTGTCGGCTCAGTGCACATACTGATATTCAGGGACACTGGTTTCCTTAGGTTTGTGCTTTGAGAGGATGCCAGTAAGTAACTCAGCGTAGACTGATTGGCTTGGATGCTCCTAGGTAACCGTGGCTCCCTCATCATCAGGAGTCTTAGCTCAATCAAGATATCCCACAGGCATTATCAGAGGCCTGTCTCCATGATGATTCTAGATGCTGCCAAGTTGACAACACTGTCTTTTTGATGAAATTTCCTTCTAGTCATAGCTTATATAATAGTGATAAAACTTTTGCCACCAAGTCTGGCAGGCTGAGTTGATCTTTATGACTTACATGATGGAAAAAGAGAACCGACTCCCACAGGTTGTCCTCTGACCTCCATATACATACTCAGAAACGAATGTGATTAAGGACTCTTTTCTAAAGCTTGAGCAACTATATCTCTTCAGTCATTAATTTATTAGATGAGATATAGTAATATGGTTTTTCTTCCTTTTGTAACATTTCTAATAATATAATAGGAGATTTTGTTTTGTTTTGTTTGTCCTGTTTTTTGACAAGGTTTTCATGTACTCCATGCTGGCTTTGAACTTGCTATGCAGCCAAGGATGACCACAAACTTCTGATCATCCTTTCCCTACCCCCACCCCCCAGACCCCCAGTGCTGAGATTGCAGGCATGTACCACCATGCCTAGTTTATGCACTGCTGGAGATCCCAGGGGATGCTAGCCTGAGCTGTAATCCCATACCATATGACTTAAGGTTGTAGAATTAGATCATGGTGTTAATTTGGAGAGACAGTCTTCCTTTCAGCGGTTTACTTTCTGATAGTCACCGTGTTTGCAGCATAGACTTACTTCTGTCTCTTTGATTCAGGGTTTGCTTTTCTGTACTGTCATTCAGCTGCATTGGGTTTGAGACGTCTGGTGGAGCTGGGAAGATGGCACAGTGGTATGAGGCTTGCCATGCACATATTTGGACCTGTGTGTGCCCATAACCTCAGTGTGGTGGCGAGGAGACAGGTAGATCCTGGTAGTTCATTGGCCGGCCAGCCTAGCCAAAATGAAGAGCTTCTGGTTCTGTGAGAAGCAGTAAGGTCAGAGTGATAGAGGAAGACACCCAATGTCCTCTTCTCCCTGCCCACCCACATACACACACACGTGTATGGAGACTGGCCAGTGTTCCAGTGAGCACTGGGTGTGCATCTTAGCCAAGTGGAGGTGTAGATAATTTCACTGTTTAAAAAGCCAAAATGGAATTCTTGGGAACAGAGTGGCTGGTTGGCACCATCAGGTCAGTGCTAGACTTTGCTGTGGACACCATTTCCTTTCTCATAACTGATGTATGTTATGAGCATGGGTGCCGTGTCCAGTTATACAGATTGGACTTCTGATAGCATGTGTACTAGGGTGTGATTGTGAGCAGCTTATTTCACTGCTGTATTTCTGAAGTTTTCTCTTTGAGTACTGGAATAATATCAGAACCCAGCAATCCATGTTACAAGTTTATAGGAATGATAGCTGGTTTTTAAAAATCTGAGCCAGGGTGTGGGTGGCGCACACCTTTAATTCCAGCAGGGCTGGAGAGATGGCTCAGCGGTTAAGAGCACTGACTGCTCTTCCAGAGGACCCGGGTTCAATTCCCAACACCCACATGGCAGCTGACAACTGTCTGAAAATGCAGTTCCATGAGATCTGACACCTTCACACCAATGAACATAAAGTTAAATCATTTAAAAAAAAAAAGAATGTGCCTTTAATTCCAGCAGAGGCAGAGACAGGCGGATCTTTGTGGGTTCAAGGCCAGCCTGGTCTACAAGAGCTAGTTCCAGGACAGACTCCAAAGCTACAGAGAAACCCTGTCTCAATAAACCAAAAGAAAAAGAAAGAAAAAAAGAGAAAAAGGAAAGTGTTGGACTCTAGCGTCCAAACACCGAGGAGTCGCCTTCAGAGACCATCTCACACACCACAGCCGATGCAAAAGCATGAGGATTTTATTAATTCTTTCATGACAGGGTCCCCCAGCATTCGGGAAGCCGAGGGACCTCGAATAGCTGGTACAGTCTACTTTTAAAGGGGCCACAGAAGCAAGGGGGGTTGTTCTTTGACTATTCTGATTGGCTTATTTGAAAGGGCTATTACCAATAATTGACTGGAGAGCTGTTGCCAGATCAGATGAGGTAAGAGGTCATTTTGACCCTGTTTCCCAGGGGACCGAACCAAAGCATACGTATATAGGTAATTGTTCAGGAACTGAGTACGTGCGAGTGTAGCTGTTAGGTCCTTGGTTCCCAGGGGAGGAGGGGAAGCACTATGGCACAGAGGCTGAGAGGATTCAGAATTGTCAAAAATGGCTTCAGGATTGTCTTAAAGTCTTACAAAAGAAAAAAAATCTGAGAAATGTGATTGGAGATATAGGATTGGGGACTTGCCCAGTGTACACGTGGCCCTACGTTTAGTCCTCAGTACTGAAAAAAGAAAGGGGGGAAAGAAAGGAAAATGAGAGAAATGGTTAGGTGTAGTGGTGTAGTGTATACCTATAATACTAGCCTTAGGCTGGAGGATCATGAGTTCATCACCAGCCTGGTCTTCAAAGTGAGAACCTGTCTCAAAAAACAAACAGAAAATCTGAGATGCTATTACATTTCTATAATTTTAGTTGTTGCTTATGGTGATTAGGGGAGAAGTTATGAATAACTTTTAACTTTGGTATGTAGAGATTATTGTAGTTTTGTAGTAATATGATTAAAAGATATACTATGTTCTTTTTTTATCAGTTTTTTTTTTTGTTTGTTTTGTTTTTGTTTTTCGAGACAGGGTTTCTCTGTGGTTTTGGAGCCTGTCCTGGAACTAGCTCTTGTAGACCAGGCTGGTCTCGAACTCACAGAGATCCGCCTGCCTCTGCCTCCCAAGTTTCTTATTTTTTATCATTTGATTTCATGTAGTTTATTTGTTCCACAATCTAAAATTAAAGACAAAACAGGTCAGTTAATTTTGGAGAAATAGCCAGTCCTGAGACTCATATGACTTACAGTGAAGGGAAGGGATAGGGACCTAGCAGAGGAGTCAGAAGGACTGCAAATGAATTAAGAAAGGACCAGTGGAGGAGATGTTCTAGAACCACAACAGAGTATTGGGCAGAATGGTGGACGTGGACTCACCCTAAACAAGTCACTCATACCACCCTGCTATGGCTTAGGGTGTGTTGAGGAAGAGGGAGGGTGGGAAGTGTGTAAGAGCCACAAGATAGGCTAAGCACTAGGAGATGCCATGCTGGACTTGACAACCATTACAGTTATTAATTCACATCAACTGGTTTCCTGCACCAATCCACACGGGACCACTCCTGTCAGCAGCCAGTCGAGGGAGGAGGAGGGGCTCACAGAGCCCTAACCTTTACCCTGGACTACTGGCTATTGATAGATTTTGGAAAAGGAGTGATTGCTGTTTCTAATTGTCCCTCTGCTGCTGAGCCCATCAGGCTGCAACAGACGGCTCCAAAGGCATTCTCACAGCGATGGCCCTCAGGAATCTTGGTGGATCATAAAACAAAGAATAGTCATGAACATGAGAGAGATTTGTTGGAAGTGGGGGAGAGGAGAGGATTGGTGACAGAGGAGGTGAGAGTAGCCAGTATGCAAGGCATATGTATGTGAAGTCATAAAAAGGTTTTTGCAGCTACTTTGTGTCTGGTAGATCAGTATGTGCTATTAATGGAATCTTGTAGAACATAACCATTCAAAACAACATTGTTACTAGCTTTTTAATTTTATTTGGTGTTGGGGATGAAACATAGGGCCTGATACATGCTAGGAAAGCACTGAGCCACTTAATAAAAACAAACAAACAAACAAGCAAATAAATAAATAAAAGGCTTAGGTATTCTAAGCCTTTATTTTTCAGCTTTTTATGGGAGACCTTCACTTAAGAGGAATTAGAGTCTGTTAAGTGAATATTGTAATTGCTGCATATCTCAGCTAAGGGGTTTGAGACAACTCACATGTTGCTAAGGATGCTGTGAGTTGACAGTGGATGCTGGACTGAACTGGGTGCCTATTTCTTGGGGCCAGGCATGCAGATAGCTCCAGGGGCCTGAGCAACCAATGGATGGGCCAGCTGGCAGCCGTCAGCCATGATGCTTTCTCATTCTCCTCCCATCACTTGGCTGCCTGGAACCCATTTATTTCTATCAGGATTCTGTTTTAGGAAAAGGTCAGGCTAGACTGCAGGTGATGGCCACACTGTCTTGTGTTTGCTGCTGCTCATTGCTGTGATGGCCAGAGCAAGGGCTTAAGTTCCCGGGAAAAAGAATAAACTCCTGTGATAGGAGAATCTGCAGGGTGCCATTGCCCCAGGTCAGTATGTGCACGGCAGCAGCAGGTCTGGCTCCTTTTCTGCATCCCACCCCACGTACTGAACTGATTTTCATAGAGAGATAGACCTCTGCTCCTGTGCTCTTCTCAGGAGTTACGTCTTTTGACACCTGAACTAGACATTGATCATACAGTGCTTGCTGCGTCTGGATTTCTTGAATATGAACCGCCAGTGCCACCATGTTTGTGTAAATCGATGCCCTGACTTGATGAAAACATACTTACTTCTTTTTTTTTTTCCTTAAGATTGCCAACACTCCTGATAACTGAATGTGTGCTGGTTTACATGACTCCAGAGCAGTCAGCCAACCTCCTAAAATGGGCAGCCAGCAGTTTTGAGACGGCCATGTTCATAAACTACGAGCAGGTAAGAGTTTCCCAAGGTGGATTCTGCATGGGCTTCCAGTGTAGCTTTGCCTCAGTTCTTCCTTGTTCATTCCCTTCTGTCTGCAGCCATCGGTCTGTTCTAGCAGTTCCTTTTCTCTTGGTTTCTTGACTTCCCAACAACTATTAGCATTGGAACTTAAATATTGGGAAAAGTTTTAAAATTTTTTATTTTATCATTCTATTATCTACAGATATCTATAGAACTTGAGGCATAATGGCATGAGGTAATTTTGACAGTATTAGCAGGAGGAGCAAACTCAAAGGCCGTTAGACAAGCAGGGATGTGAATGGAAGGCGCTGACTGTGACTGGTGTAGAGGATGGAGACTAAGGGACCTGGGGCTGCCACTCAGGAGTCGCATGGAAGGTGTGGCCTGAGGGGGCTGGGGAGGTTGGGGACAGAGGTAGCCTAGACTGGCTACTTGTGAACCACATGGAGATGGGGACTGATGGACTCCTCAGGTCCAGCCAGGAGTTTCATGTGGGCATTTGACTTAGAGTTGCAAGAGCTTCTAATTTTGTAAGGGAAGTTTGATATACTCCTATATTGCAGCATAAAATGCCCTAGTCCTACGATCACTGACATTGGTCTGGTAGCTGCAGGGGAAAAAAACCCTCTTGGAGCTTTGAAATGGTCCTGCCTGTGTCTGAATCCTGCGTGATGAGGACAAGTTGCGTCCAGTCTTTGTGCCTGTTTCCTCGCCGAGAACAGTAGCACCCAGCTTCCTAGTGTGTTGTGAGGCACACATGAGTTAGTATATGCATTTCCCCCTCCGCACTGCCTCAGTTCTCTAAGTGTGGGCTCTTGAGAGTCTTCTGAGCTCTAGTTGTGTACTGCTGGGAGAGGTGGGGGTAATGATATACCCATGTGCACCATGTGGAGGCCTCTGTTGCTCTCTCTGTCTTGTTCCTATGAGATGGGGGTCTCTACACGGAACTTGGAGCTTGTCCTCCATTTCCACCCCCCTTCCCCAGCACTGAATTATAGTTGCTGTAATGGTTTGGATAAAACGGTGCAGTTCCTTGAGGTGTGGCAGTGGGCCATGAGGGGCAGCTGGTCCCACCACCCGAGGCCTCTGTGTGAGAGGCAGCGGGTGAAAGATCTTGGCGGATTGGCGGGGCAGCTGGTCCCATGAGGAGCCACAGTAGGTGAGAGATTGATAGACATCATGCAGAGAGAGACAGGAGAGGGAGAGGTAAGGGGGGAGATGAGAAGAGGCAGCAGTCACCTCTTCTCAAGAGAGAGCCCACTCAGGCTGAAGATCTGCTTGCCCCAGGGAAAGGGGGGGCAGGGTGGGACTTGTCTCTTAAAGGGACAGGACAAGCCAACAGCAGATCATAACATTTCCATCTCTTTTTTATTTTTTTATTTTTATTTATATATTTTTAAGATCTATTTATTTATTATGCATACAATGTTCTGTTAACATATATACACCAAAAGAGGCACCAGATCTCATTATAGATGGTTGTGAGCCACCATGTGGTTGCTGGGAATTGAACTCAGGACCTCTGGAAGAGCAGCTAGTGCTCTTAACCTCTGAGCCATCTCTCCAGCCCCTCCATCTCTTTTTTATAATAAAAAGGCAGGAAGTTAGGCAAACAGATGAAAGGAATTGATTAGGTAAAGTGGCACAGTTCCACAAGGGGCAGTGGGTACAAGGTGGGGAATGGCCAGTTCCAGGAGGATCTGCTGCACGTGACCTGAGACCTGTGGCCCTCAGTGTGTGAGAGATGGATAGACACACTGCACAGACTGTGGGTATAGTTTATTTAGTGGGTTATGGAAGGGAAGGGGGGAAGAGAGAGTGAGGTGGGAGAGGAGAGGTGGTGGGACAGAGAGAGCCCACTCAGATGAAAGTCTTGATGGAAGGGGAGCAGGCGGGGCTTGTGTCTTAAAGGGCAGGACAGACCATTACATGCCCATCTCTTTTTTATAATAAAAAGGCAGGAGATTAGGCACAATAGGTTAAAGGAATTGGGATGGCGGGTTATCAAGATTGCTTTCTGCTTATTTGTGGGCGTCGTCTTGGGGGGAACCTGAGAAAGCTGGATGCTGGTCACATCCTGGGGTAGCTGGTCACTTTACTCCTATCCAGGGTTTGTGGTATAGAACTGTCCAGTGTCTCTTGGACCTGTTTAAGGTATTGGCAGAACAAAGGACAAAGTTAAGATTAGGAAAAAAAAATTTAGGACCAGGGAATTAAGAGGGGTGTATCTGACCTGTTTAAGGTGGATCCTTCAATTTGGCTCCTTGGAACTCACAAGAATTCTTTGGGTTTGTAAAAACATAAGTTTTAGACATATATATTGTATAAACGGTCACATATTTATGTCAGAATGACTGTGACAGATATTTTTGCATAATGAAAAGTATCTTTAAGACTGTGGAAGGCAACCTGAGAGAGAATTTTGTTAACTTGTAGCTTATTGAAATTTGCTTGGTGAGGCTGTCCTTTTAAACAACAAAACCTCTCAGCTGTCAAACTGCATCAGAGATCTTTGAGAAGGATAAAGTTTTACTTGAGTTATTGATTTAAAAACGACAGAGAACTTACTTGGTTGGTACCTAGAGCAGTAGCTTTACTCCTCAGGGTCCTCCATGGTCGCTGAGAGTCATATTTGCCTTTTGCTGTCTAGCGCAGGGCCTGCCAGGCTTCAAAAGATCCTGTGGGCTAAGAAATCTGTAGGAAGACAAGCCTACCTTGACTTGAGCAGCAAGGCTGTCAATTCTAGCAATTCTGTCCACTGTGTGGAGATCTTCAGTTTAGACAAAAGGCAGTTTTTCCCAGTGGTCAGTGCTTGGCAACTGAAGCAAATTGCAGATGGACATTATTTTGTGCCCATCTGTCTTCTGTCTTCTTGGTAGGAGGTAGAGTGCTGTTGCTAGGAGCCAACCTGTCTCTTTGTTTTGAAAAGTCTTTTAATAATTAATTATTTAAATACCATATTCTCCAGATCTTTGAGCAGTTGAGGGCTGTTTGCCGGGTATAGATGAGTTATAATTACAGTATAGAATCTGCCTGAAGAGCTGGGTCCAAGCTTGACTGTACTGCCTCTCAACAGGTAAGATTTATACTTGTAAAAGACATAGAAGAAAAAACTGCTTGCAATAGAAGCTTAACAGTAAAACTGACAATGATAGAGAACAGCTTAATATATTTTAAAGCAGGGTTGGATTAAATATACCGTATTTTTGTAAGAGACTTAAAAGTACATACCAATTTAAGACATGGGACTTACTGCTTTTTTTTAGTCTGGAATGAGATATAAAGGACAGTTATAACATTTAACAGTAAACATGTCACATGTATGCACACATACACACACATTAGAGTTAACTCAAGTCACATGTACATACACATACACATACACAAACAGGAGTTGGGCAAAGTGGATGCTTTTGGTGGGCCCCATCAAAATCATGTCCCTGTGTAAAACATAACAGAATCAGTAAGAGGAATTTAGAGACAAAAACATAAGTAAATCAGGGAACTAGGCATGGAATATCTCAGTAAAGATGGTGGGACTTGGTCACCCAACCTGGACTTCAGTTAAGATGGCGGTAAGGTGAGGTCACCTGACCTCAGTTAAAATGGCAGTTGTCATGTGTTGTACGGAGAAGCCACATTTTTTGAGCTGCGGGAGTTTTAAATTGATAACAACAAAGACATAGAGGCCGTGTAGAGCATACATTTAAAACAGAATTACATCTGTGTGGCCACACCATTCACACATTCTTTTATATATGAAGTAAAGAGAAAAATTGCTCAGTACCATGATCCACCCTGTCTCCAAGCTGCTGAGCCACAAGTCACAGCGGGGAGCAAAGGCTGAAATTGAAAGCAGCTGCCTCGTGGATCCGACTAATCTTGTTGGTTTCTACTGGACCAGCAGTAGCAGTGGCAGGGATAGAATAGAAGGAAAAGAGCATTTTCAGATAGGTGGCAAAGGGGCTGCGCAGTGAAAGGAAAACGGAGCCACGGGACAGCGGCAGAGGCGTGGGTGGCTGATAGTTTCTAAGGGTTTGTTTCCCATGCCGAAACCGTGAAAACCCTCGAAAACAGCAGGCACCTCAAGGCCTGTAGGGAAATGTCTTCTCTCAATAGGCAGGGTGATAATGTAGCCTGGCTGACTCTGGTCCATGGTGATTCGGATGTCAGAGGCTAGAGGCTGCCCCAGGTGGTCTCTCACAGTGGGGACCACTCACATGTGGTCCAAAAGACAAAAACAAAACAAAAAATATCCGAGGGCCCCCTGGTCTCAAAGTGAACGCACCACTCGATGTGTGCAGTGCTACTGTGGGAGGACCTCTGGTGGTCCTGTCATGGTTTTAGCTTGGAGAAGCAACCATAGATGAATGTCAGTGAAGGATTCAACTGTAGTCATGAAGGCCATGGTTGGGGGCTGTTCCCCCATTTGTAGGAACACCAGAAAGTTGCCAGGAGTTCAGCGGTCAAGGCCTCAGGTTTGGAGAAACGGTTAAACTGATAGAAGGGGAAAACTCATCAATTGAAGCCGCTGGTGTGTGTGTGGGGGGGAGGGGGGGTCAGCATCCAGGCAGGTAGCCAGTTCCTGAGCCCAGGGTTCCACGTGTCCTCACCCGGCCCAGGGAGGGAACGCGGAGAGAGCCTGGCCGAGTCACAGAGCACCAATGTAATGGTTTAGATAAAACAGCACAGTTCCCTGAGGGGTGGCAGCGGGCCACAAGGGGCAGCTGGTCCCACCACCTGAGGTCTCTGTGGGTCCCAGGTGGGTAGGAGGCTACAGGTGAGAGACCTGGGGGATTGGCAGGGCAGCCAGTCACAAGAGGAGCTGCGGCCCTGGGTGAGAAACAAATAGGCATGCCATGCAGAGAGAGTGTGGATGTAGAGTTTATATAGTAGGTTATGGAAGGGAAGGGGAAGGGAGGAAGGAAGAGAGAGAGAGAGAGAGAGAAACAGAAAGAGGAAAGGAGGGGAGAGGAGAAGCAGTGACCTCTTCTGAAGAGAAATGGGACAGAGAGAGAGAGAGCGCGCGCTCAGGCAGAATGAGGGAGTGGGCGCAGGACTTGTTTCTTAAAGGGACAGGACAGACCATTACAGTTGCTATGTGGTCAAACTGACTTTTATGTGGGTTCTGAGCATCTAAACAAGATATTCAGGTTTGTGTAGTAAATGGAACCACCTTCCTAGTTACAGTTCTTTGCTGTTTAGAACTTACCTTATAGAAATTCATGAAATGCTACATAGCACCAGGCAAGTGTCGGGGACCAGCCTTGACAAAAATACCTCTTGCCAGGTAAGGGTGTGGGAATTAGAAATATAGTAAAGTATATGAAGAATATGAAGACACAAATGAAAGTAATAAAATGCAGAAACATATAGCATTGGGAGGGAATTTTTTAGTGAGTACTGAAATTTGCGTTTAATTTCCAACTGCTTAAAAAGGTAGGAGTAAGACAAGAGACTGCATTAACATTCCAATTGAAAGTCACAGGCTAAGTTCATAGTTAAGCATTCTGTTACTAGAACAAAGCAAGTTACCAAGTCATGCTCACACCCTAGACCAAACACTTTGTAGGCAAACCACTCCCTGGGTGGAATCCCAAGTTATTTCCATAAAGGGCACTGGAACTTAGTTGGATTCTTAGACTTTTGTTTTAGGTAGGAACAAACCACTTCCCTATTCCAGGAGTGCAGGGCCTGGCAATTAGCCACACCTGTTGACAATAGCTTTGAGAGAGCAGAACTCTGATTTACAACTAGGTGGGAGCTTTGTGTAAGGCAGAAAGAAGCACAGTAACCTTGAAGAACCTAGAAACAAGTCACAAACTCTGACCTTTGGCCTTTTGGGGCAAGTAACAAGCAGAATGCGTGCTAGCTGTTTTTATTATTTACTTACTTAGATTTTTTTAAGACAGTCTTACTGTGTACCCTGGCTAGCTTGGAACTTGCTATGTAGACCTCATACTTGGGTGATGATCCTGCTTCTGCCTCCCAAGTGTTGGGATTCCAGATGTTCACCATCATAACTAGCTTTTTAAAAAATTATTTTCAGTGGGATCTCACTTTATAATTTCCTTTTTAATTCATTGCATGCAAGAGCAGCGAGAAGACTTGACCAAGTAGTGGAGAGGTCCAGGCTAGATTGGGGTTCAGTATGTCCTTCTCCACTCCAGCCTGGGTTCAGTTTCTTGGTTGGCTGACTGTCCTCCTTTCCACTTTACAACTGCAAATGTTCCTCAGCCTGCCTTCCCTCCAGGACCACTGGCCATGGAAGCCAGCCCTCAGCTTTTCTCTGGAAGCATCCTTGGTATGGCCTGCATACCCATGGAGAATGGCTGCTGTAATGGTCTGCTCAGCCCCTTGCTCAGATAAACCACACCCCCGCCCCCCAGGCAAGCTGATCTTCAGCTTCCAGCCTGAGTCCCTCCCTTTCCATCTCTCTCTTGAAGAAGCAGCTTCTGTCTCTCCCTTCTCCCCACTTCTCCTCTTACCCCCTCTGTTTCTCTCTCTCTTTCTTCCTCTTCATCTCTCCCCCTCTCTCTGCTCTTTCCCCTTCTCCCCTTTCCTTCCATAACCCACTGAATAAATATCCAATTTCACTCTGCATAGCGTGCCTATTGGTCTATGTCTCTCATCTGCTGGGACTGCAGCTCCCTACCTGGGACTTGCTGCCCCTCGTGGCCCCCACTGCAGCCACTTGGGGAACTGCAGCATGGTCTCATGGCCTGCTGCCTACAGCCACTTCGGGGACTTGTGGCGGACCTGCTGCCTGCCGCAGCCACTCGGGGATCTGCAGCATTTTACTTTTACCATTACAGCCACCACATGTCGTGTGTGTGCTGCTTTGCTCACTGGCCTCTGCACTCTCTGTCCAGAAGCATTTATCTAGCACTCTCTGGAAGGTGGTGGGCTGATTCTAACTCAAGGCCTTTTACTCGGGAGCACACCTGGGACGGCGCCAGATTTCAGTGCCCTGCCTCCAGCTGTTCCTCACCTGGTTCAGCTCCCACCATCTTCACTTTGTCAATAGAAATGAAACTTAAATCAACAGTCCTCAACCATCAGCAGCCTCACAGTGTAGATTAGTTGCTTATGTGCTTTTCCCAGTAAATGGTTTACAGTGACAAAGCCATGTTGGTGGTCGGGTGGGCAGCACCCACTTCCCTTCCCACATATTCTGTGCTCAGCACTGCTGTGTAAGTTCTCCACGTCTTTGTTTACTTCACTGTCATATAAATCCCTAAGGTTGGTCTTAGTACTGCCAGATAGACTTAAATTGCCCAGCTTCTCCAGGGTTACAGCTACTGTCAAGCCAGGATTCAAACCCAGGCAATAAAATGAAGAAGAATGTGCTCTCAGACACCTGCCCTGAGGCACAGGAGAGAGGTTAGCATTGCTGTTGTCTGGCTTTGTGTGTGACAGGTACTGGTATGTGTGCTGTGACATGTTTTCTGGCACTCGGGAGGCTAAGGCAGGAGAGGCAGGAGGAGCACCAGTTTAAGGCTCGCACAGACAAAAGACTATCTCAGAAACAAAATAAAACCAAACAATCAGAAAGGTTATATCGAGACAAGCAGATCTCTCTCTGACCCTAGACCTCAGTCTTCTGCTTGGGAAATAGTGCTGCCTGCTCTCTGTTAAATGCAGTAAAGACAGGTTAGCTTGTCTCTTGAAAGCACACGGTAACATTCTGTTCACATTTCTCTATTCCTTGCTTCTTCTTAATTTTTTAAATATTTATTTATTGTGTATGATTCTGCATGAATATGGCCACACATGTGCCATGGGGAGTGTGTGTATGTGTTTGCTACTACTTCTTCTTTTTGGGGGAGGTGGTTTAGGACAGGATTTCTTTGTGTAGCCCTGGCTGTCCTGGAACTAGCTCTGTATACCAGGCTGTTCTCAAACTCCACTTGCTTCTACCTCTTAAGTGCTGGGATTAAAGGTGTACGCCACTGCCTGGCTATAATTTGCTCTTAAGAGTTTATCTTAAAATCATTCTGTGCCTATCTCTATATTTTTCTTGTCTGCTTTCACAGCTATATGGTATTTCATTTTATGAAGGTAATAGGATCGATTGAAGTTAACAGATAATTCTCCCCACATTCCAGTTACACTTAACATTGCATCTTTGCACATGTGTGTGAGCCTCTCTGCCAACAATAGAATTGTTGTACTAGGTAGGCATGTAAGTGGGTGTGTGCTGCCCTTTATGGGGGATACATCAGCTCAGTTTTTTGTCACACACCCCTCCTAAGCTGCTCCCGTGTGTCTTTCCAAATGTCAGCCTTGACTGGATATTATATTTTGCTTATTTAGGACACAGACCTTTAAGGTTGTGGCTAACCAGCGTTTTCCCTTCTCAGGTGAACATGGATGACCGGTTTGGGCAGATCATGATTGAAAACCTCCGAAGGCGACAGTGTGATCTGGCAGGAGTGGAAACCTGCAAGTCACTAGAGTCCCAGGTCTGAGCAGATTCTGAGCACTTGCTCTCCGTGGCAGCTACACCATGAGAAGCCCTGTTATGTCTGTGACACAGGCTCCTAGTGGTAGGAGAACTCAAGTCCTGTCTGTCCCCTTGATAGAGAAAACACAAATTGACATTTCCCTACAGTTTGTTTTCATTATGCATATTTTTTGTATAAATCACTTTGTATTATGCAGAATTTCAGACATGCATAAAAGACTAAGATTAGCAAACACCCATATCCTATCAGTCAGCTTCAGTAATTGTCAGTATTTTGTTACTGTTTTCTCACCGCCCCCCACGATATTATTTGTTGGTGTCATCAAAATATTTTTCCATATTTGCTAGACAATACATGTTTCCACGCTAAGTGCTTGTTAAGGGCCCTCCTACTGTTGAGCTTTCTTCCAGGGTAATGTTACCACAATCACTCCCTACAACTGAACAGTAGCTCCTCTATGCTTCTGCTTCCCAGACCGGCTTCAGTTTGTCTGGTAGATTGAAGGCATGTTTTATAGTGTGTTTGACTTGGCATCTATCCATGGTCTACATTTTATAGGTGATTAATACAGCTTTGTGTTGCTCTTAATCTTTGGTAGGCCCTTTAAAAAGGAAAAAGGCATTTGTTTGCTGGAGATAACCTCCCATACCTGCCACCATTTAAATAAACTGTCACATGACTACTAAGTGGCATGTTGCTCACACCTGCAATCCTGTCGCTTGGTAGACTGAGGCAGAAGGATCATATGTTTGAGACCAGCCTGGGCTAGCGAGCTCCAAAACCTGGCAAAACTGAAACCAGTCAGCCATCGGAGCAAACAAATAACTGTTGTTTGTAGGAGAGATTCTTTCATCGTGTCTCTCTACTCCGATGGGTTCCCAGGAAAACACTGCATGCGCATGTAGAATAGAAAAGGGACTAGACATGGGCTTTTGGAACGGAACTACTCTCAGAGAAATCCTGTGTGCTTCACGGTCTCAGGTGTACATGCTGGGGATCACCCATGTCTCTCCACCCCCTTTCAGAAGGAACGGCTGCTATTGAACGGGTGGGAGACAGCATCCGCAGTGGACATGATGGAGCTGTACAGTGGGCTTCCACGGGCAGAGGTGAACAGGTATGTGAGTGCTAAGCCCAGGCTTCAGATGGTTGCCAGTGAAGAGGCTGACCGTCTGTGTTCTTTAGTGTGAACACAAGGCTAACCTTAGCCAGGCAATAAGGTAAACATTGGTTAAAGCTTGAGAGAGTAACTCATTAGCCACTGGCTGAGAGAGCGCCTTTGCCAAAGCAGATGATTTGAACTGAAATAAGTAGTTACTCCCGGAAAATCCCCAGAGCCACCTCTTTGTAGAATCCCTGTCTTAGAGAGAAGATGATGTTACCCATGACTTCTAAGGGATAAGACCTCGAATGACATCTTTAAATGGACTCTTTCTTTGTTATAAAAGAAAGATATAGTCATTGTTCTAAAACTGTTTCATGCTGAAGGCATGAAGTCTTATATATTTACATGGTACAGTTAGCTCTTATTAACAAGTTGGTACTTATTAACAAGTTGGACCTGTTCTCCAATAGTCCTTTACACAGATAAATATTTATTGATACATAGACTCTGCTTTCTAAATCAAGGGGTTCATACTATACACGGTGGTCACAGAAGTCATATTCCCTTTTTAAAGCTTAATGGATTATATTTATATTTGTAATATGAAAGTCTTGAACCCTTCATATTTTGTTTACATGCTTGCATAGCAGTGTAGATAACAATAACTAATATTGTGTTAATTGTAAAGAAATTTAAAGAGGGACAGTTTGGACATTTACTCGTGTGGTCTTGTAGCTTACTTGTTTTAGCATCTCCAGTGCATCAGTACTAGGGAACATCACTGTGCCTGCATAGACCTGTGTTGCTACCTGTTTGGTTCACTTCTTAGTTGTTCTGTGCTTCTTCATCTGTCCTTCCCCTCTCCTTTGGAGACCTTGAGGTACAATTTGGGGTCTGTTACAAGATCATGTGAGGAACTTTTGGACTTGCTCGTCCTCAGATCTTACTGACATTTAGAAAAATATCATTTCTTTTGTGTTGTTTGTTTTTTTTGTGTCCAAGTATCAGTTATGTAGGCAGTGAACGCTTTGAGAGTGCCCTCTCATAGGTTGATGATTTATGGGTTCTTGTGGAAGCTTCTTTTTTTATATAGGCTAGCTTCCACTTCATAGGTGTCGAGGTGATGTTTTGAACATCTCTGGTCTGACATGTAATGCTGTTGCTCTGGCAGATTTATTCTAAGCAGCCAGAGGGGAGTCTGTAATGAGCATCAGCCACAGGGAGAATAACTCCCTTCTGGGCGGTCCTTTGTCTCATGCAGCCGTGGTCTTTTGTAGACAGCAGCATGTAACCCTAACAGAGACCAGGTGTGACAGGAGATGGCCTTTGCTCCCTGAACAGGCCTCCTGACTCTGAATGTCGCATGGGCTTTGTGTACACTTTCTTGTCTGCACCAGGGATATTGGATCAAAACTGGTCCCAAATCTGCCTGTTGTTAGGAACTCGTGGCTAGTGAATAGCTTCAGTTTGTACTGAGTCCTGTCAGTTGGGTTCAGTTAATCTCCATTCGTCATTAAGGCTTTTCTTTGTCCTTTATGGGACTTTATTCAGTAATGTACCTAGATGTTTTGTTAGTCAGTGTTCGTTACTGTGTCACATCTGAAATCAACCTAGAAGAGATGCATTTTGCTTCACCATGTGGCGATTCGTCATGGCTAGCAGGGCCATTCCTTTGGGGTGCGGATTGTATGTAGCAGAGCACATTCGTCCTCTCATGGCCAGGAACTCAGAGAGGCAGCTGATGCAAGCAGGGCAAGTTTGCATTTGTGTCTGTACGTCTTTGGACTGTGGCGTCTGGGATGGGCCTGCAGACCGAGACTCTCTTTGATGTGTCCTTCCTGTGATCCCTGTGCAGCACTTTTAGTTTCTTTAGTCAGGTGCTAGGAACCGTACCTTGGGCTCAGCTATACTGGCTCTTTTTCTGTCTAGCCTGCCTGTTCTGTTTTTTTTTTTTTTGCTATTAGATACTTTCTGTAGCTATGATAAAACACTCAAACCAAAACAACTTGGGGAAGAGAAGGTTTGTTTGGCTTATACTTTCAGGTTGTAATCCATCCTTGAAGGAAGTCAAGGCAGGAACTCCAGACATGAACTGAAGCAGAAACCATAGAGGAATGCTGCATACTGGCTCATTCTATCCCAGGTCCATGCTCAGCTCCCTTTCTTTACAACCCAGGACCACCTGCTTAGGGACTGTACTGCTCATGGGCCTGGGTCCTCCTACTTCCGTCAGACATACCCATAGGACAGTCTGGTCTACACAGTTCTTCGAGGTTCTCTCTTCTCGGGTGACCCTTGATTGTGTCTAGTTGGCAATAAAAACTAACCACACCATTTTTTTTAAAATTATGTCTGTGTTTATGTATGCTCTATTTGCATGGGTGCTTGTGGAGGCCAGAAGAGTGCATAGGATCCCCTGGAGCTGTATTTGCAGGTAGTTGTGAGCTGCCCAGCTTGGGTGCTGGGAACTGGATTCTGGTGTCCTCTTGTAGTGAGTGCTGATGAAAGACCTGGATAAATCCAGACCATCCAAGCAGAAAAAATAGAGCCAAAATCTAAGCAGGGAGAGAAGAATCAGAAATCTAGATTAGCCGGTTCAGTGACTCTGTTTCAGGAACTAGCTGAAGATAAGTTAGATTATAATTTTGAGAATAATCTTGAGAAACAGGGAGTTACCCCCTTGTGATTATCACTGGTATTTTCGGAATTTTCCAATGATGCCCTCCCTACCCTCTTTGGATTATTGGGTTGTGGTTTCTTCCCTTAAATACCCCTTCTCCCAGCTACTTGAGGTCGAACTCCTCCCCTGTATGGGATATGAGTCTCGGTCCCAGCGCTGGTACCTGTCAATAAACCTTGTGTGATTGCAGCAAGGACGGTCTCTCGTGAGTTCCTTGGGGGTCGTGTTATTTCGAGACTTGAGTGAGAGTCTCCCCACACTGGGGGTCTTTCACTGAGAACTGGACTCAGGTCCTGTGGAAGAGCAGGAAGCAGTCTTTCCTAATGAGCATTTTTCCGGCTCCTGGACTGCATTCTTTGTGAATATCTCCTCCGTCACATTGGCTTCTGCGTCTCACTGCACAGTCCTGCTGCTGCACACCATTGCCTTGCTCCTGTGACGCCTCCGCCATCAGATAAATTCGTCGTCCATTATTTTGCATCTCTGCCGCACAAAGTCCCTGGCATGGGCAAGATGCAATCAGGTTGTTTGCCACAGAGTGACAGGGGTGGCCTCATATCCAGTTCCTAGTCCATTTTCATTTCCACCCTAAACTTCCCCAGCATTGCCATGTTTTCTGGGTTTTTACCAGCATTTTGGCCTCACTCTGGCCTGCTTCTCTACACTTCTTTGGCACACCACACTCCAAAAGCCATGCAGTAAGCAGGTCTGTGGCAGCAGAGAAACCTGTCTTACTTTCTGTGCTAATTTTCTGCACTAGTTAGCTTTCTGTTACTATAACAAACACTTAAGGTTAAGTGAAAATATTTATTTTTCCTCAGAGTTTTAGAGTCATTCACCCAAAACAGGTGCACGCTGCTTTCTTTGCACTGGTGGTGTTATACTAAGCACACATTCCTTGCTAAACACCCTGTCTGAAATGCTCCAGGGTATGTCTTGGAATTATCCCATATTAACCCATGTAGATCTGCCCTGGTTCATAGTCTGGCTGTAGAGACCTGAGGTATGAGCATGTTTTAGTTCATGCATATGGTCTCCTATAGTTCAGTTTTTGCTTGTTACCAGATTGGAACTGCTGCTGTAGAAATGCTCTTGACCATTTATCTTTGCATGCAGGGTAAGCTCTTAAAGAGGCAGATTGATCGCAGGATTAGAGGATGTTCTTTCTTTGTGTTGAGAGAGGCTAAAATGCCTTCAAGGGAGGCAGTCCTCTTTTATCATATTGCTAGCAATTGAGAAAGTGCCTTTTCTTCTGTGTTCAGCCTTCAATCTTTGTCTGTCTGAGTGTTGAAAAACTACTGTTCTGGCTAGTTTTATGTCAACTAACACAAGCGAAAGTCATCTAAGAGGAGGGAAGGATACAGAAATACCTCCATAAGATCAGGCTATAGGCTAGCCTGTAGGGCATTTTGTTAATTGAGGTTTATGAGGTAGGGCCTAGTCCATTGTGGGTGAGTACCATCTCTGAGTCCTAGATTCTATAAGCAGGCTGAGCAAGCCAGTAAGCAGCACCCTTCCATGGCCTCTGCATCAGCTCCTGCCTCCAGGTTCCTGCTCTGTTTGAGTTCCTGTTCTAACTTCTTTGGTGCTGAACAGCAATGAGAAAGTATGAGCTGAATACTCCTCCCCAAGTTGCTTTTGGCCATGGTCTTTCATACAGCAATAGAGGTCTTAAGACAACTATCTTGTGTTTTCATTTATATTTGTTTTCTCGTAAATGAATTTGAAGATCTCTTGTTTTTCTTTTCTATTGGACTGTTCTTTTCTTCTTCTTTTAAATTATTATGAAAGTTTTTCATGCTGAAGTTCTATAACTCTTTATAAAGAGTTGCAGGGCAAAGAAAGTAGTCTTTTGCCATTAGCATTCCAGAGACCTTTCTAGTTCATTTGTCTTGACCTTTGAGGTAACCCTTCTTCCTCTTCCTCCTTTTCCTTTCTCCACTAACCCTTCCTTGTTCTCCGGCCCTCCCTCTCTTCCCATTCCTTCCTTACCCTCCTTCTCCTTTCTTCAAGACTGCACATTCCAAGTGTGTACTGTTCCCCTGAGCTAAACTTCCTGAATTCCTTCTTCTTTTTGAAAATTTATTTTAATTTCATGTGTGTGAACATCTTTTTTTTTTACAAACAATTCTTATGGCTTAACAACTTTTAATTTTTTCTTGTAATTGATTTTATTTGTAGTGTTTGTCATGGAACAATTGAGGATGAGTCTTTATTTAAATATTTAAAGACATATTCGCAAATGTCTTTAAAGATAATAAATCTTAGTTTAAATTTATTTTTTTTTCTTTTGAGCCCTTCTCAGCTTTCCCATCATACTTCTTTTTTTTTCTATTGTTTTTATTGAGCTATACATTTTCTCTGCTCCTCTCCCTTCCTTCCCTCCCCCTTGTACTCTCTCCCATAATCCCCACACTCCCAATTTACTCAGAAGATCTTGTCTTTTCTCTCCGTCCTATAAGATCCATGTATGTCTCTCTTGGGTTCTCTTTGTTGTCTAGGTTCTTTGGGGTTGTGGACTGTAGGCTGGTTTTTCTTTGCTTTATGTCTAAAAGACACTTATGTCTAAAAGACACATATGACATTTGTCTTTCTGGGTCTGGGTTACCTCATTCAATATGTTTTTTTCTAGATCCATCCATTTGCCTGAAAATTTCAAGATGTCAGAATTTCAAGTATTCCATTGTGTAAATTACCACATTTTCTTTATTCATTCTTTGGTCGAGGGGCATTTAGGTTGTTTCCAGGTTCTGACTATGACAAACAATGCTTCTATGAACATAGTTGAGCACATGTCCTTGTGGTATGATTGAGCATCCTTTGAGTATATACTCAAACGTGGTATTGCTTGGTCTTGAGGTAGATTATTTCCTAATTGTCTGAGTAATCGCCACACTGATTTCCAAAGCAGCTGTACCAGCTGGCATTCCCACCAGCAATGGAGGAGTGTTCCCTTTACCCCACATCCTCTCCAGCAGAAGTTGTCATCAGTGTTTTTGATCTTGGCCATTCTTACAGGAGTGAGATGGGATCTCAGAGTTGTTTTATTTGCATTCTCTGATAGCTAAGGATGTTGAACATTTCCTTAAGTGTTCTTTGGCCATTTGAGATTCGTATTTTGGGACTTCTGTATTTAGGTCTGTACCCCTTTTTTTTATTGGATTATTTGTTCTTTTGTTGTCCAGTTTCTTGAGTTCTTTGTACATTTTTTAGAGATTAGTCCTTTGTCCAATATGGGGTTGGTGAAGATCTTTTCCCATCCTGTAGGCTGCCATTTTGTCTTGTTGACTATGTCCTTTGCTTTACGGAGTGTCTCAGTCTCAGGAGGTCCTATTAATTGTTGCTCTCAGTGTATGTGCTACTGGGGTTATACATAGGAAGTGGTCTCCTATGCCAATGCATTCAAGTGTACTTCCCACTTTCTCTTTTATGAGATTTAGTGTGATTGGTTTTATTTTGGTCTTTGATCCATTTGGACTTGAGTTTTGTGTATGGTGATACATATAGATCTATTTACATATGAGTGTTTTGCCTGCGTGTGTGTGTGTGTGTGTGTGTGTGTGTGTGTGTGTGTGTATGTGTATGCATGCAGTGTGTGCCTGGTATTCCCAGAGGCCAAAAGAGGGAGCCAGATCCCCTGGAACTGGAGTTAAATACAGTTGTAAGCCTCCATGTGAGTGGGTGCTGAAAATTGAACCTGGATCCTCTGGAAGAGCAGCAAGTGCCCTTAACTTAGCTGAGCCATTTCTCCAGACCTTCCCCATTCCCCATTTTTCTTAGCCACAGCATGCATACTGTTGTGTATCGAAGTTCTTTCCATGTGGTATCATGAACATGTCATTACTGCGGACTAGCTCTTCCTAACTGCGATCTCCATCTCCTGTTCTGACTTCTGCACAGAATAGAATCCCTCGAGTTCCTGGATGAACTGGAGCTTCTGGAGCAGCTTATGCGGCATTACTGCCTCTGCTGGGCCACCCGTGGAGGCCAAGAACTCGGTAAGAGAGTGCCTCTGTCTGTCACCTGGGCCGGAGGCAGGACAGCCTTCTCCCAAGAATGAAAGGTGCACCAGGCAGTTGAGGTTCAGAGAACTAGAGAAACATGGATGCATACCCACAGAGTGTCCAGAGAAGTCATCATTTGTTCTTCCAGGTTTTTATAGCACGGAATTAGGCAAACTCTCTAAACCACAAATCCTCAACCAGCTAGCCAGCCCTCGTCAGGCCTGCCGTAGGATTTCCACATTTGGGAGGTTGAAAGCCTTGAGAGTTTAAGGTAATAGTCTTAATAAAAATAACCAGCGTTTGCCCTTTCACCAGCGCACAGCCATGTTTGCTGGATACTAACACATGGATTGTTTGGTTTCTAAAAGACTCACCCAGTTTCCAGGGCAGTTTCTCCCTCCTATCTCTAAGGTTGAGGCGTAGTTTCCTGACAGAGGCATGCAATACCTCGAGGCTCAAGGAGGGACCTGAGCACCTGGCTCTCAGGTTTGGATCCAGCCTCCGCTGACTCCTGCCCCAGTTGCTCTTGCTTCCCAGGGCCTGGTTATTCCTGAGCAGAACAGCCCGGCAAGACCACATCAGATTCCAGGTCCCCAGTGCCTTCCAGCTTCTCACAATGTGATCCGATGGCAGCCGGTAGTCCAGCCTGCTTGGGCTCCGCAGTTCAGCCTACAGAGTCCTTCCAACATGGTTTTGGGTGGAAATTCCTTTATTGTTGTGTTTTATATTAGACTCTCCTCTAATAATAAAGGAAATTGTAGTTGGAACTTGGGGAACTTGAAAAAGGTAGAGCACAGAAGCTCTAGTCTCAGGCAGCCTCTTAGTGATGCTTCCTCTGCTGTGTTCTGGATACTTTATTTATTTAAAAAATATATTTACACACACTCATATATAGTTTATTTATTTACCTTTTTTGTTTGATTCTTTGAGACTTGTAAAGCATCCTGGCCTTAACCTTGGCATTCCTCCTACTTTGACCTGCCAGAATTACAGGTGTGCCCCTGGAACCTCATACATGTGAAAGCAGAAAACCCATGAGGAGAGTGTGGCCCTGCCCTGGCCTCCACCCTCTGCCCCTTTGCTGGACTCTGATCTTATCTTCAGTAGAGCTGACTTTACATGTTCCTCTAACTGGACTTCTGAGCTTTTCCAATTTCATCATGTGACATAAGCATTTTATCCCTTGCCACCAAACTTCTCAAAGAACATAATTGCAATGAGTGTATTAAATCCTATCACAAGACTGTGTCTGAATGTATTTAAACTTGCCAAGATTTGGGAACTGCAGGTTTCTAGCAGGTTTAAGTTACCTGTCATTAAACAGTAAGTTGAACTGCTTCTGTTTTTGTCCCCCCACCGCCTTTTTTGGTGTGCTTTGGGAAGGGGTCTGAAACCCAGGCTGGCTTCCTGCTCCAGCCTCCCGAGTGCTGTGTTTACAGATAGACACCAGCACGCCCAGGTTGGGATAATAAACATTTTAATGTCAGAGGCTTCTTCAGTGTACCAGCACACAGTGAAGAACCAGCTCTGTGTTTGTTCAAAGGTCAGCAGTTAGCAGGTAGATTTTGGACATTTACTGCTGAGAGCCCATAAATTGTTATGAGATGCTTTCTTAATCTATTTTAAACCACCCATAAACAAAAGCTAGCTTGACCTCTCACTTTCTTTTGAAATCTCGTTTCACACAGGAAGGGTTCGAGGTCCAGCAGTGAGCTGTTCTGGTGCCCAGGGCCAGCTCTTGGACATGTAGCAGTGTCGTGCTCACCCCCACCCCCTAGCTTCTTTACTCCGCCACAGGCATCTGACTGTATCTGTGTTTCCTCCCCTTAGGTTTGAAGGAGATAACCTATTAATCTGTGATGGTTCGTGCTGAGGTGGAAGTCCAAGTCTCCAGCCGAGGGAGTGCCCTGGGCCCCCTGAGGGATGGGTAGCTCATCTCTCTTGTGGGCCCTGTTGCATATCCAGAACCCTTGGTTACAAAGGTGGTCACACCAGATCCTGCTCCTGTCACTATCATTGTTTAAATAAATCTCACTTGCCATTTGTCTGTGTGTCAGACTTGGCTGGCGTCTGTTCACCTTCTTTGCTCTGTGGGTGGACCAGGGTTCACATCCATGGCAGCTAAAACCCAGGAGCCTGCATCTTACTTGGACCTTGGTTTGCCCTGTGAGTCAGAATCCATTTGGGAATTTTCTCCTCCCTGTGCTCTTTATTGCGACACCTCATGGACCCTGACCCTTGACCTGCCACAGATGCTGGAGCTCTTCTGTGGTGTTGCTGCTGCCGTGGCTGGGCTAGCCTGCTGCCTTGCCTTGTTCATTCCAGTTGCCATGGCAGGTTGTGTAACTCCTCCTTACATACCCTGGCTGCTTGGAACCTGTATGCATGTCACCTTCTGCGGCAAATGGGCATTTGGCCAATGAGATTAAGATAAGGGTCTCAAAACAAGGTTGTTAGGGGTCATCTGGGGCTCTGATGCAATCACAAGGATCCACATGAGCCAGACAAGAAGACACAGCCAGACAGTGGACATTGACTGAAGGAGATTGCGGAGGGAGGGGTTTTGAGGATGGTGGGAAGGGCCAAAAGATAAGGAATATAAGCAATTTCTATAAGCTAAAAGAGACAAGAGGCTGGAGCGATGACTCAGGTTAAGAGCACATGCTGTTCTTACAGAGGAACCAAGTCCAGTTCCCAGCACCCATACTGGGTGGCTCCTGACTGTTACTCCAGCTCCAGGGGGATCTGAAGTCTCCATTCTCAGTGGGCACCTGCACTCACTTGCACACACCCACACATGGGTGCACACATACTTACATCACTAAAACTAATAAAAATTAAGTCTTTTAAAAGGCCGGGGGTCCCCAGAAAGATGTCCCCCATCCCCATACACCCTCAAAAACTTGACAGACTAAAGTTCCAGCTTTCTTCTTTCTGATCTCCAGAACCATAAGTAAATAAATGTGTGGTGTTTTTCAGGCTCTGGAGTTATGATAAGCCACAGCAACAGTAACGAGATTAATACGGTCATTATGCTGCCGATTAGGGCCCCACAGTTTAGGGGGAAAAACTCCAGCCCTATGCTGGAGCTGCATGAATAGACATGGCTGTGGGGAAGCTCCGGCATGGTCCTCAGCTGAGGTCACAGTTCCCTGCTCCACTTGGAACCAGTATTCCCTGGGCACTCAGCTGTGCTCCACCTGTGGTGTGCCTGTCATTGGAGTAGTGCGTTTAGACAGCCTGAAAGAAAGTGAATTGCCCAAGAGAAGGCTTTTCCTTTCAATCTCAGGACAGGAAAGTCTTGGGTTTGGAATGGTGTGTCTTATTTTCTTAAATATTCTTAACACAGTGTATATGGAACCCTGGGGCCATAGTGGGAAGCTCAGTTTAGTGGAGCAAGTCTGTGATTTAATAAGATAAGGAATGGAATGAACATAAAGGCACATCATCACTGGTAAATGTGGGCATTGTTTTTGCTTGTTTTTGTAGCCTGTGATGGTTTGAAAGAAAATGGATCCCAGAGGCTCATAGGGAAGTGGCACTTTTAGGAGGTGGCCTTGCTGGAGTCGGAGTGGTTTAGTTGGAGGAAGTGTGTCACTAGGGGGTGGGCCTTAGGTCTCTGATGCGCAAGCCACACCCAGAGTGGCATTCTCTTTGTGCTGTCTGCAGATTCAGATGTAGAACTCTCAGCTCCTTCTCCAGCACCACGTCTGCCTGCATGCTACCATGCTTCCCATCATGATGATAATGGGCTAAACCTCTGAACTATAAGCCAGCCCCAGTGAAATGTTTTCCTTTATAGGAGTTGCTGTAGTTATGGTGTCTCTTCAGAGCAGTAAAACCCAGACTAAGAGATAGCATAGCTTTTTTCATTTTAATGTTTTAAGTACTTAGTTTTGAGACCAAGTTCAAGTTCTCACTATATATATATATGATATATATATATCATATATATGGTATCAAACTTAACGTAGGACTTATTCTTCTTACATGACAAAAAAATCGCCCCACTATCCATCCTGTTCCAATTCTATGAACTAATTAACCCTAATCTACTGATTTTATCAGCCATTATTTCAGTATTGATTGGAGCGTGAAATGGACTTAACCAAACACAAACACGAAAAATCCTAGCCTACTCATCCATCGCCCACATAGGCTGAATAGTCTCTATTTTACCGTACAACCCATCACTAACAACCCTAAATCTCCTAATCTACATCATTATAACTGTCCCCATATTTCTTATCTTCCACGTCCACTCATTTACACCTATCACTTCCATGTCACTCATATGAAATAAAATACCAATAGCTCTACCTATAATCTCATTAATTTTATTATCAACAAGAGGACTGCCACCACTCACAGGATTTTTACCTAAATGAACTATTATCACTGAACTCATACAAAACAATAACTTATCTTTAGCCACATTAATAGCAACAGCCGCCCTAATCAGTCTATTCTTTTACACACGACTAATTTATTCAACCTCACTAACCACCTTCCCAAGCAATAACAACTCCAAAATATACATTCTCCAAGACCATATAAAAAGCAACAACATGCTATCACCAATAATAATCATCAGCACACTGATACTTCCCCTGTCTCCCTTACTTCTATAGCAGAAGTTTAGGATAGTTAGTCTCAGAGCCTTCAAAGCCCTAAGCAAACCCACAAAGTTTAACTTCTGATAAGGATTGCAAGACTACATCTTACATCTAATGAGTGCAAATCAATTGCTTTAATTAAGCTAAATCCTCTACTAGATTGATAGGACTTAAACCTATAAACTTTTAGTTAACTGCTAAACACCCTATTCTGGCTTCAATCTACTTCTTCCGCCTATCAGAAAGGTGGCGGGAGAAGCCTTAGTAGAATCAGTTCTCTACACCTTTGAATTTGCAATTCGATGTGATTATCACCTTAAGGCTTGGTAAAAAGAGGCTTTGTCCTCTGTGCTTAGATTTACAGTCTAATGCTTTGCTCAGCCATTTTACCTATGTTCATTAACCGCTGACTATTCTCTACCAATCATAAAGACATTGGGACCCTATACCTATTATTTGGGGCCTGAGCAGGGATAGTAGGGACAGCCCTTAGCATCCTAATTCGAGCAGAACTTGGTCAACCAGGCGCCCTATTAGGTGATGACCAAATCTATAACGTAATTGTCACAGCCCACGCGTTCGTAATAATCTTCATAGTTATGCCAATGATAATTGGTGGCTTCGGCAACTGACTTGTCCCACTTATAATCGGAGCACCAGATACAGCATTTCCCCGAATAAATAATGTAAGTTTCTGACTTTTACCCCCATCATTTCTCCTCTTACTGGCATCATCAATAGTAGAAGCCAGAGCAGGAACAGGCTGAACTGTTTACCCTCCATTAGCCGGCAATTTAGCACATGCTGGGGTATCAGTTGACCTAACCATTACACTTAGCAGGTGTGTCCTCAATCCTTGGGACAATTAACTTCATTACCACAATCATCAATATAAAACCACCAGCTATAACACAATATCAAGCCCCCTTATTTGTCTGATCAGTCCTAATCACTGCTGTACTTCTACTCCTTTCCCTCCCTGTTCTAGCCACAGGAATTACAATACTTCTTACAGACCGTAATCTGAATACCACTTTCTTCGACACAGCTGGAGTCGAAGATATATATATATATATATATATATATATATATATATATATATATATCCCTAGCTGGCCTAGAACTGACTATATAGACCAGACTGCCCTTGAACTCACAGAGATCGGCCTGCCTCTGCCTTCTACATTTATGCTGGAATTAAAGTTGTGTACCATCATGCAAGACTTTTAAAAAAATTTTACTATAAATTTTAATGATATAAAATATTAGAGACAAACATTAAGAAATAAAATGTGATGACTCAATTCAGTTTTTTTGTTTGTTGGTTGGTTGGTTTTTCTTTTATTTTTATTTATTTATTTTTCGTTTTCAGGACAGGGTTTCTCTATAGCTTTGGAGCCTGTTCTGGGACTAGCTGTTGTAGACCAGGCTGACCTCAAACTCATAGAAATCCGCCTGCCTCTGTCTCCCTAGTGCTGGGATTAAAGTTGTGTGCCACCATCGCCTGGCTTCAATTCAGTTTTTAAAATACATCCATGGGGCAAAGGGGTTTCCACAACCTGATTTGCAGCTGTTCTGTCTTCTGAGAACCATACTTCCAGTTGAATAAATGTGGGCAATGGAATGTGGCGATTGTCACAGATATGCTGTTTGCTAGCTCCTACACATCAAGTTCCCAAATGTAGCATAAACTGTGACATTCTGCACTTCTTATGAAGGCCTTTCTTCCAATCTGGCCAGAGGCAAATGGACATGGTGTCCGTGTCCACTTAACTCTCAGTATATCTATGCCTCAGGCTCTGCATCACCAGCATAAACAAAAGCTTTTTTCTTTTTTTTTCTTTTCTTGAGGCAACACCCAACTAATAGCACTGATACGAAAAGAAATGCGGCAAATCTGTAAGAACGGAGGCTCTGTAGGCAGCTAAACCTGAAAGCTTAGGAGAAAGTAGTTGGAGCTGCAGGCAGGCCTGCTTTTCGTCACCACCATCCCCCCCCCCCCCCCCCCCCCCCCCCCGGCTCCCACAGGCTAGCTTAGCCCCAGAAATAATAACACAGAAACTGTATTCTTTTTTTTTTTCATTGTCCTAGCACGTTTTAATCTGTTATTGGCAGTTGTCAACAGTGTGGCTTTACAATTAGTTAGTAACATCCCTCTCATTTCCTTAGAAATGTACTGAATCAGAAAACTCTCCATTTGTGTTCCTGTCACCTGCTATCACATTTTTTCATGTGACTGTTTCACACAGTAACAACTAGCTGAGCATGATGTTACACACTTATAATCCCGGCATGCAGGAGGTTGAGACAGAAGAATTGCCTCAAACTCAAGGCCAATTTAAGCTATGTAACAAGCACAAGGCCAGCCATGGTTGCATAGCAAGACAATGTTTCAACACAATCAAAACAAACAAAAAAACTAAACAATATTGGTATAGTCATTTCCAATGAGATTTA